TTTTTTTTTTTTTTTTTTTTTTTTTTTAACTAGCTGATCGGTGATTGGGTCCAAAATCCTGATTGTGTAAAGCCTAGTGAGCTAAAACAAATTGTATGATCGGATTATTTAACTGTATTTAAAATAGGCATCTGCTTTCTTCAACCTTTTAATTGCCACTACCAGTTAGATTTTGTCATATAATCTAACATAAAACGAAGACATTTTCACATTGTGTATTTAGCAAAAATACATCAAATTCGTCTTGCGGCTACGTAATAATATTGTGGCTTATTTGAAATGTATTTCTTCTGGTTTTCATCAAATTATTGAGCGAATGTGTGTATGTATTTTATCGCCTTCTAGTGGTTAAAGGGCGCGCGCTAGAATGAGCAACATAATGGCCATTAAATTAACATGATGTACAAACGCTTTCTTTCGTTTTTATTTAATTTTGTTTGGATGTATTTTTCAATTAAATTCGTTTTAATGGGAAATAATAACTTGACATTTGAGCGTCCTGCATTCCGAACAAATTGAACTTGTTAAGGTCACCATTTTTCATTGAGTGTCTTAGTTATTCTATCAAGATCAATACGTATAGTTAAGTCTACATGATGTCCCTTAGGTACAGTTAACTAACATGGAACAAAAAAGTTGTTTCAAAAGTTTGTACCTGGTGCTCTTGTATTTCATCATCAAACTTTTGGAGCAAGTATTCAATTTCCATCTCCACATTTTCATTTATCTGTCAAAGAAGGAGAAACATGCGGTTTATTTCTTCCCCGTCACATAAATGATGAAATAAAACAGTCGTAAAAATTAAGTGCACCTCCTGGAGTGTTTTCTCCCCTTCTCTGAATTTAAGTGTCGAAGTGTGGATTCGAATGTTGAGTCGGTCTATTTCCTGCTGGATGTTGGCTTGCTTCTCTTGAGAAGTCTTGATGAGGGACTGGCACTGTTCGTTAGCGAAAAGCTTCCAGTCGACTACTTCTATCTGGTTCTCCTTAAGACGACGCTCCAAAGTTTCGATGTCATCTTTCTTCTCGGAAATCTAAAAATCCAGTCCAAAAAATGGGAGAGGTCAGACATTTAGTGTTCTGAGTCACAGTATTTTTTTATTGCTACTTCTTGTGAGGGATGACTGTTCATTGGGCACACCCTTTTTAAAATAGCATTTTTTTGTCTTGATGGAAAAACGTGTTTAAAAAAGAATGTGACATCCAATATATATTTTTTTTTAATATAAATGGACTTGCTAAAACTAATATTTGAGCACCCGTTCACATAAAATGTCTCAAATGTACCAGATTGTGGCCCATCTCTTGTTCACAACCCCCCCTAAATCACCGAATAGATTTTCTATTGCATTTGGGTCCAGTAAAACATTATCTTCACCAGAAGAATTGAGGACCTACAGTGAAGCCCGTTGCACAGCAGAATTATGTTGCTGGATTGTTTTTCATCTGGAAATGCAGCTTTGCTTACAATAGACGAAACTGTGAACTTTACAAATATCACTCAATTATGGCCCAGAGGCCTTCAGGTGTCTGCTCAAAGGTTGGAACAGAATAGCACTAGAATGACGCGCAAACATACGTGCAGAGTGAACTAAAAAATAGCTTAATCAGAAAAAGGATAGATATTTGGAATAACACAGCCCTAAAAATAGAAAACCATGGGGTGACCCAAAGGGGGGATTTTGAGTGGCCAAATCTTATTAAGTCAAGATGTGTGTTTAGTTCCGTTCCATAGATGTGTTTATAGAACTGCTCACCTCAACATCTTTTTGTATGATAGCTGCAGCTGTTTCTTCTAGTTTGACAATTAGTTCCGTGTCAGGTGACACTGTCTCAAGGGCTAACAGTATTTCCTCTTCCGGGGTGGTCTGCAACCTCTCTATCATATGTACATGAAATTTCTTCAGCCCTATAATGAGTGTGCACTCCGTCTCCCCAACTTCTATGCCAACTTCTGGTCTTAAACCCGAAATTGCATCAGGGTGGGTCCGGAAAAACCTGAGCAAATTCCTAACGGAGTACTTGAAGTCTCTCTCTAGCTGAGCCTTCCTTTTCCGTCGAGCACTTTCTTCTCCCGCCGGTCTATCTTTTATCTCCTTGAGGTCATTCGATGTTTCCAGCCTTTCCCTTAACGTCTGATGCACCTCAAGGATCTTAGTGAACTCCTCTTGTATATCAATAGACGAGCAGACTAATTGTTGGATGGCAGACAGAGATGCTGCAATCTCGATTTGAGCAATGCAGTTCTCCAGTATGTTTGAGATGGTCTGGGCCTCTGGAGAGAGGAGCCTCTGCTGTGGCACCTCATGGGTAAGCACAGCCTCCCAATCGTCATCTTGCTGCAGACCAGGGTCTAAGAGCTGAGTGGTGTCCCCCTCTATCACCTCTATCAGCTGAGCTTCAGACATGTCAAAATCGCCACTGAGAAAACAATAAGATGTGAGAATAGATAAGTAGTTTACAATTAGATAGTTACATGTGTATTGTTGGCTGCTTTACAACTTAAATACCCATTACGAAACGTATGTCAAATTTAACATATTTATTTATCCTAAATACTATGTCATGGTTGTGTATATTGTGACAACGTCCCGACGTCAGAGCCTTCTTACACTGTGTGATGACGTCACGTGACCAACGTTTTTCAAATGCAACTTCGCTACCTTAAGAGAAAAAAAATGCTACATTTTATGAAGCCATCCTCGATTTTTTTATTCCGTTCACATTTAAAACTTAATAACATTTCATTCTAACCACGTTTACTTTTGGAACTAGTGTAACCCATTCCATTTTTTTCTCGACTCATATTTCGTCTTGTTCCGAATACTGTTGAAAATCAAAACATCCATAACAACGACAGTTACCAAACGTAAAGATGGAGAAGGTACATTACCACTACATCTTTTGTTGATCGTCAGAAACGCACTCTGACCTTTCGCTGGCAAAAATGTTTACTGTTGCTAAGATACGGTCAAAACGGCTACCGAATGAACTTATAGGAGTAAAATGCTTATTCAGGCTCCAACTATTAAAATTTTCTTTTGTATAAATCATACTGTATACACAAATAGGTAGATAAAATACGTATTGTTGTTAACTTTTATTTTGAAAACAATATGTTACAGTTTGCCGTGAATCGCTGAAATTGTCGTAAAATCCGTCGCCTTCCCAACAAAATACAACTTGGATGCGGAGCTTGCTTCAAATACACTCCATTCGTCGGTGTTGTTGCTCATGAAAAAATTGTCTCATAGGAACTTATCGTGTTTGGCGAAGCCACCTCATATTTTTCGGAGCTGGTCTATTTTTCAGTGTTGCAGAATCGCAGGATGCCGCGACGTACGCAGGCGGTCAGCTTGTGACTGCTTGTGACGCTCCGAGCCAATTGATTCAGTGACAGATGTCCCTTGCGTGCTAGGGCTGGACCAAAACTGTAAACAACAAGGCTTGTGCACACTAACTTGATAGTAGCTTTGATGCTTGTAGACTCCTTTACATTGTTTATTTCACATTGCTTGCTAAACAACAGTACTTGAAGTACTCGTGTTTGTTAGCTAACAAGTTTAGCGTTAGCTTATTACAATTTGTTGCGAGCGGTTTTGCAATGTATTAGCTAGCTGGCTTCACTCTTGGAATGTATTTGCCGAAGAGTACTTCGAGATTTGTGACAGACTGATGTTATATTTGTGATTAAAGAATGGAGGTTGACGACGATGACGTGCCGCTGATCCTCACTTGGGACGATGCAAACAGCGGTTTACTCAACGAGGACCCGGAGAGGGTAGACGAAAGTGAGTACATCTATCTTTAATGAAACACCCTTTACGTAAAATAAATCTGCGAAATAAAAAAGGTATGGAAGAAACATATGGAGGAAAAAATCTATTCTGTGACTTTGTACACTGCTAACGAATACACACGTGGACAAATTTGTTGGTACCCTCTGTTCGGGGCAACCTCGAAGGAATTTAGAAATTTGCACTGCGACTTCCGCATCTCTCTGGAGGTATTTTGGTCCATTCTTCGTGAGTAAACTGCTCCAGTTGTCACGGGTGTGACGGGTGCTTTCTACAGACTTTATATTTCAGCTTCTTCCTCATACGTTGAGTAGGATTTAGATCAGGTTTTCACTTTAGAAAAGAAAATGTTTTGCTGTTAGTCATTATTGTGTGTTTTGGGTCACTATACTGTTGTGAAACCGATGACCTGAGTCTGAGACCAATCCAGACAGCTTTGTTACAGTCCTGCGGATGTTAAATTTCTGAATAATAGTTGTAACTGTGGTCACAGGAACATCAAGCTGCTATTCTTACTGCTATTCTGTTATTCTTCGTGCTTATACAATATAATTAAATGTTTTTCTTGTTAGCATGTTATACAAAATGACAATGTATTAGTTAGGGGTGTCACTAAGTTTTATGAAATGGGGGTTCGGCCCCCTGGAGATGCACAGCATGTAAGCAAATGAAGTGCACAAACATAAACTTTTACAGACTGCTAACAAAGACTTTTCAACACTTGTCTGTCTGATCTAGCTATATGTCTCATCTAATCTATATCTCATGTAACCAGAATAAGTCTGTACATATTCAAATTCAGTACCAAATTGAGGAAAACTATTTTGTTTCTGAAATCAAATGATCTTTATTCACAGGGGCAACGTTTTCGTAAATAGTTGGTGTCTTTGCATATGTTGAAAAGATGTATTAGAAACCAATCTAATATGAATAGGGGTTAGGGCCTGTGACTTTGAGGAACACATTTTGCTGCACGATATATTGTCCAATGCATAATCGCTGATAAACAATATCAATGTCAACATTTTTGGATGGAGTTGGAACAATCTCTGCATCGGATCTCGTTGCATTTTACAGAAAGGTCTGCATTGTGGACAAGTGGTTAGCACATGCTTACATGGGTTTTCTCCAGCTACTCTGGTTTCCTCACATACCGGTATTCCAAAAACACGTATGTTAAAATAATGAAAAACAGTGATTGTATTTTATGATATAAGGTTTTACCATTCGGACAGTTTTGTAGCATGTGCAAGCATCCACTCAACCGTCTGTGTTCCACAGCGTAAAAGTTACATAAGACTCATCAAAGGAAATGCTGCTTCAGCAGAGAATCCTTCGCCCCGCCTTAGCGGTCATGTGTAGAAAGTGTTTGAATGTTGTGCTTGAACAGACTGGGTCTTCAAAGGAACAGGAAGAAGAGCGGTTGTTTTCCAGGATGCCAAGGAGTGTCGGATAAGAGGGAAACATTTTGTTACTGAGGAGTATCCTTGGGAGTCTTTCCTGGATCGAGGAAACTCCTGAAAATGGATTTTCTTTAGATTGACAGCAGTTGTTACAAATCATATGACAGGTCACATGATGGGATGTGAGGGGTGGCGTGGAGAAGCTCTTGTTCATGATTATTTAGCGCTTTTGAATGCAACAAAGCCAGATCAGACTGTTTTTTTGCTCCAAACGTGAATTTTTTTCCCGGCAAATGATGGATTGTAGTTGGACATGACGTGTCCTCCTGTCTGTATAACTGCCGGAATGGAATTTGAGCTTTACATTGCGGTGTCACAACAGAAAGAAACGGCTGTGGCTGCCTTTTTCACTTTCACTTCGTGTGCTTGATTATGACATTTTAAGGCGTTCTGGAGGGCAGATTGTGTCTTTGTGGTTGTTTTTGTTTTTTCTCTCCGTGCATTATTGATACGTGCATTGGTCTTCATCTAATTCTATTTCACATACTTTCATTTTTTGCTTCTTCGTTAGACATCTTGATGACTCCCAGCTTTTGACAAGGTTGTACTAACCTGCTAACACTGGGTCCAAAGTTCACATTTTACCACTGAGGCACAAGGAGATATTTTACCGCCTTTCAAAGCTGTTCTAAAAGGCCTATTTTGTTTCACATCCCAGCTCTTGTTTTGAATGGATCCACACTTTACTTCCTTGACTTGTCCGAGACGTTCAACACAGTATTACTGCGCTCAAGAGTTTCTGGAGTTCACATCAGTCTTGTGGAATGTTGGGCCATCTGTATCCCCATGTGTGTGGAAGCTGAAACAAGCCCGTAACACAGCGAATGATACTCGCTTGTAGACTTCAACCACAGAGAAACATACACCGCTCCACAAGTATCAATGGAGCATTTAAACAGCCACTTAGCTACTTTACGTCGAGATCTGCGAAGTAATGAGATGCCTTTGGTGGTCTCTTCGTATTGCTTGCAGATACAATTGGACTGCTATGGTAGGAGCAGCTGTGTACTATGCGTTTGACCTATTTTTGACCCAACCCTGTCATTCTTTATACTTGTGTATTCTTCCAGATGGTGGTGCTGGAAACTATGACATCGTAAATAGTGCCGCGGTGTCAACACCTGGGCCTCAACCCCACCGAGCACACAATGTGTCTTTACGACAAAGCTGGGAGATGAACTACCAGGAGGCGGCCATCTATTTGCAGGTATGCACATGCAAGAGGATGGTATTGTCAGCAGAGCTGCAGCGTCACATGATTATATGATTTTATTTCACCTAAAACTCCTGACCACGTTATTTGAATGTAGGTTTAATATTACAGCCATTGGCTCTGAATGTTTTTCATAATCCCTTTCGCTGCTTATCACTCTCAATGTACTTTGAAAAGTTGAATTTCCTTTTCAGAAATTACGCGTAATATTCTACATGGCATGCTATACCACAAAATACTTCCACAAATGTGAGCCATTTATTGCGATGCTATTTATTTTGTTTTGTCAAATTGTGTCATTTTTGGAGACAGCAAAGTCTAACAAAGCTGAATTTTAGATTTAAAAAAAAAATCGATAGAAGCCTTACCATTACCTTTCAAATGTGTACCTATTTGTGTTAAGTACTATAACAATACATCTTCATTTATACTGAACTTTCACAACAGCTGCAGCTGTAACAAAGCGCTTTACCAAACATTTAACCTAAAATAACAATAACCCAAATGGATTGTGAGGGGTTGTTGGGAGTGTCTGGATGGGTAACAATAATACAACAGTACACATAACATAACATAACATACGATCAAACCGTATAGGGCGCATACCTTCCATAGGATCAGGACAGTGTTAAGAAAAGGAGAAACATTTTCTGGCCGTGCCACCAACATGCCCAATTTAACATGATAGAATCTGTTTGTGAGTTTGTGACAATTGAAGAGCCTTTTTGTCGAGATGTTGCAAATTGAACTTGAAGTGTCCGTTTTCTCCTGAATGTCACTTACAGGAAGGAGAGAACAACGACAAGTTCTTCACCCACCCTCGAAACCCCAAGGCGCTGGCAGCGTACCTCTTTGCCCACAACCACCTCTTTTACATGATGGAGCTGCTAACGGGCCTCCTGCTCATGACGCTGTCGCTGTGCGAAGCCCCCGCGGTACCTTCGCTACGCCTGGACGTTTATGTGAGTGAGGATGAATGCACGTCCACATGAATTAAAAAAAAAAAAATAAAACCTCGCTGAGCAATTTCGATCACCGGCACAGGTTCATGCCACTCTGGAGCTGCTGGCCTTGGTTATTGTGGCGTTTGAGCTGTGCATGAAGCTCCGCTGGCTGGGCTTCCACACCTTCATACGACACAAGAGGACCATGGTGAAGGTAACTGATGGAGATGTTTTAGTGCATAATGTTTCGCAAGTCTTGATACAGTGATACCTTGACTTTAAAGATTTATTTCAATGCGTTCTTTGCTCCTCATGGCACTGTTGCGGAAAGTGTATGAACCAACCTTGCATTAACAGCTCAGTACGAGACTTCAATTTAATGGATTATTTTATTTCGGATGTTGGCACGAACAGCGCCGTGGGCATTGCTCCGTTCTGCTGTGAACATCCTCATCCAATTTCAACTGCATTTTGGGCGAGTGGCTCGTGAGAAGTCAACAGTCACAACACACACACAGCACAGTCAGCAGTTAACCCTGGAGCAGAACATTCAGATGAAAACCCTCGAGGAAAAAAAAAGGGGCCACAGAAAGTTTCTGTAACGATTGTCGCAGTGGAATGATTATACCATTCAAACACCAAGGCTTGATTTTTGTGACTGAGTCACCAGACCTGATCTGCAGGAGATGATGATGCACTTGGCCACAACACAAAGCAAAAAAAATTGACCAAGTGACAGCTCGTAACTCCAAAAACTGCAAGCGGGGCACCCGTATGTAAAAGTAGCAATGCACTTGCTTTACTCGCTAACATCAGCCACAGTCTTAGTTCCCTAGCTCAAGCTCCCATCTTTGTCCCTCTATAGGCTTGTGTGTTGCTGCTACAGTTTGTTGAGGCCATCGTGGTTCTGGTCCGCCAGACGTCGCACATGCGAGTGACCCGAGCACTCCGACCAATATTCCTTGTGGACTGTAGATACTGCGGTGCTGTACGCAGGTACACTATGAGTCCAATGTTTTGGTGACAATTCCGTGTTTTTCATGAACACACGCGTTGTATACAGACGCAAACATTTCAAAGTTAAGCGATTGCTCAGAAATGTCCTTATTTGTGTTATTTCTCTCATTCAACCAGAAATTTGCGGCAGATCTTCCAGTCTCTCCCACCATTTATTGACATCCTCCTCCTACTGCTCTTCTTCATGGTCATATTTGCTATCCTGGGTGAGAATCATATATTTTGAAATGCGAAAAATAGTTATTTGGCCACGCTAGCTCATAAATAAACCTCATCGCGCATACCTATAGACGCAATTAAGAACAAAATTGTATTCAACTAATGTACTTTTGAAGCTGTCCTCTAATTTCCAAGTTACATGCATGTTTGTTCCATGATGTAATGTACACGGACACAAAAACGAATGATCATAAAAATCATTCTGCTTAGGATAATTAATAATTGGTCAAATCAATCAATGAAATATATGATTATGAACGCAACATATGAAAAAAAAACAATTCTATAACACCTACTTATGTAAATGTCTAATGCATGTTGGGAATAGAAATGACAGTGAAGATGCAAGTAAAACACAAGTTTTATTTATTTGTTGGTTTCCAACAAATGTATTCAAATGCTTTAATTGCTGCTTGGTGCGAAAACCACGACAAAAACCAGTAACATTGAAGAAGTTTTTTTTGTTCACTTTATCTTTTGCTGAAATCTGATTGTACTTTATTTCTATTTTTATAAACCTTGTTTATTGCCAATTATTTTTGGTCCACACACTTCTTAAGTGCGATTATTTTTTTTTCCCCATTCCAGGTTTCTGCCTCTTCTCTACAAACATATCAGATCCAGTAAGTTAGTTGGAGTTCATTTAACGTTCTTCATTCTGAGACTTCCTTTGTGGCTGCGCGCACGCGCGCGGCTGTTTGTGTGTCTATTTGGGAACGTGCACGTGCACTTGCGATCATATTTCCTGACTTCGACCATCTGTTGTCACCACAGTACTTCAGCACGCTGGAGAACAGCATGGTTAGCCTCTTTGTGCTGCTGACAACGGCAAAGTAAGCAGCAGCAGCATCTGTTTGTGCGGTCATGTGACGCACAAACAAGCAAAGCCATCTGCCTTTTCTTGTAGTTTCCCTGATGTGATGATGCCGTCGTACTCAAAGAACCGCTGGTCCTGTGTGTTCTTCATTGTGTACCTCTCCATTGAGCTCTACTTCATCATGAACCTGGTATAACCTTCTTTCAATTGTAAAAGCACAATTTCTCTATTGAACAGCCTTTGAGCAGGAATAAGAAATTGATCTGATCACAACCTTTTCACAGCACCTCTTTTTTGCTAAATGATTTGTTGCATTTGGTAAGACCTGGGTAAATTTAGCTATCATGAATATGACCGCGGGGGCTCGTTTCACATTGATTTAGAGCCGAAATAATTTACAGGATTTTTATATGGCAGGTCCGATAGTGTGGGATTAACTGTCAATTTATGGAAAATTAATGAGGGAAATTTCAAATAAGAATGACAAAAGCTAAGAAGCATGGCAGCAACGTTGATAATAAATAGATAACATATAGTAACATCGTAAAAAGTAAAAAAAAAATGACAACAAAAGAACATATTATAACTGGACTGGATTTAAGAACCACCAACAAACCTCTCAAATGCTGATGAAAAAAACACCAGCAATGAATAAAAACTAATGAAAAGTAGACCATGATTCCACAAGATGGCGCCAAAAAAATTGACTTCCCCTCCAGTAGCTGATTTTCCATTTTTCTTTCCATTCTCCTCTTCCCTGTAGCTCCTCGCCGTGGTGTTTGACACCTTTAACGACGTGGAGAAGATGAAGTTCAAGTCTCTGTTGCTTCACAAGCGCTCCGCTATTGACCACGCCTTCCAGCTGTTAGTCAGCCGCCAGGTATCAAATTAATAATGCCGTATGTGCTCACTGCTCCAAGCATTGACGCGCCATTCTAATGAGTTTCAACCTTTCCCCTTCAGAGGCCAATGGGTGTCTCACTGAAACAGTTTGATGGCCTGATGCGTTTTTATAGACCAAGGATGTCAGCGAGAGACCGCTTCCTCACCTATAAAGCTCTCAACACCTCAGGCTCTCCTATGCTCAGGTCTGTGACTCCACTCCCATCACTCAAAATCTGCTTTTGCTCGCTTACACTTCAGTGCATCTTCCAATGTGTGTCTTTGCTTCTTCTGTAGTCTGCAGGACTTTTATAAATTCTATGAGGTGACAGGCCTTAAATGGAAGGTAAGGAGCGAACATGTAAGTGTACGTGCCAGATTGGCAGGGCTGTTGCTTATGTTACATATGTGTTGTATAAGACACGGCGCAGTGGGGAACACTGGTTTGATGACCTTCCGCACACAGCCTACATTATTTTAAAAGGCAAGTTTACGATAACATTCCCTTTTATCTTAAAAAGTCTCTTCTTCAAATTTGTGGTCTTTTTTTTTTTTTTTTAACCCCCATAGTCTACTTTTTAAATTCCACTTTTACAGGCATCAACCTGCTGGTGAAGTCTAAAGCCTTCCAGTACACCATGTGTAAGTATTTTTTTTTTTTGAGGATTTCATTTCTATTTTACTTGCCCCTAACTCGCCCCCGCACAATCTACAGATGTAGTCGTGGCCATCAACGGTGTGTGGATCCTCGTGGAGACGTACACTCTAGACAGTAAGCCATTTTTGTGCGTGTGTGTGTGTGATGCCGATGCATCTGATAAAACTCAATAAATTTGACTCCAGGTTCTAATCTCCCCTACAGGTGGCTTCTCCTGGTCTAGATTGGTGCCATGGAATTACATTGTCTTCCTTACCAGTGAGCAGGCTACACACTGTCATCTTTGTAGGGCAGCTGTTAAAATGTGTCAGAAACTATCCTCAGTAGTTTTCAGAATATGAGGTCAATCATACACTTGGCCTTCACTGTCAAATGTCTGATCGTCATTCTCTTGGCTGTCATCTTGACTTTTTGGAATTTGTTTGAATCAACCTGTTGTCATTCTGCTTATTTCCAGTTTATGGGGTGGAGGTGTTATTGAAGATATCAGGCTTGGGACCGTTGGCTTATTTCAGTTCTGGATGGAATCTGTGCGTACTCACTTCTCCTTTAAAAGACGACTTTGCATTCAAATCCTTTGTTAATAGCTCCACGTTGTCCTCTTTCTGTCCAGGTTCGACTTCTCTGTGACCGTGTTTGCGTTCCTGGGTCTAATTGCACTCGCCTTTGTAAGTATTTTTTTTTTTTTTGAGGATTTCATTTCTATTTTACTTGCCCCTAACTCGCCCCCGCACAATCTACAGATGTAGTCGTGGCCATCAACGGTGTGTGGATCCTCGTGGAGACGTACACTCTAGACAGTAAGCCATTTTTGTGCGTGTGTGTGTGTGTGATGCCGATGCATCTGATAAAACTCAATAAATTTGACTCCAGGTTCTAATCTCCCCTACAGGTGGCTTCTCCTGGTCTAGATTGGTGCCATGGAATTACATTGTCTTCCTTACCAGTGAGCAGGCTACACACTGTCATCTTTGTAGGGCAGCTGTTAAAATGTGTCAGAAACTATCCTCAGTAGTTTTCAGAATATGAGGTCAATCATACACTTGGCCTTCACTGTCAAATGTCTGATCGTCATTCTCTTGGCTGTCATCTTGACTTTTTGGAATTTGTTTGAATCAACCTGTTGTCATTCTGCTTATTTCCAGTTTATGGGGTGGAGGTGTTATTGAAGATATCAGGCTTGGGACCGTTGGCTTATTTCAGTTCTGGATGGAATCTGTGCGTACTCACTTCTCCTTTAAAAGACGACTTTGCATTCAAATCCTTTGTTAATAGCTCCACGTTGTCCTCTTTCTGTCCAGGTTCGACTTCTCTGTGACCGTGTTTGCGTTCCTGGGTCTAATTGCACTCGCCTTCAATATGGAGCCTTTCTACTTCATCGTTGTGCTCCGACCACTTCAGCTCCTCCGGTGCACTCTCATCTCTACTTCTCATACCAATCTGATCAATTTGCAGAGAAACTTTCTGCCTTTCTGACTACTTTTATGCTATGCATCATTGCAGGTTGTTTAAGATTAAGAAGAGGTATCGCAACGTGTTGGACACCATGTTTGAGCTCTTCCCCAGGATGGCCAGTCTGGGTTTGACCTTGATCATCTTCTACTACTCGTTTGCCATCGTGGGCATGGAATTCTTTGCCAACGTGGTTTACCCTGACTGCTGCAAGTATGTCACTGAAATTGTCTTCCTGTGGTCTTCAGCGTCCAGAAAAATACCGTACCAATATATAGAATTAATTTTGTGATTTCCTCGCTTCATTTTCTGTTTTGATGCATTATTTTCAATTTTCGTAGTTTCATTGAAGTAATCGTTAATTTACGTTTTTCGGAGGCGGTCATGAACGCCTCTCGAGTCGAAAGGAAGGAGTGTAGCTTCATCTAGTGGATGCATTATAGATTGCGTTTTATAATCCAGTGTGTCCGATATATGAAAATGAATTAAAAAATAGAGCATTCATTGAAAGTGCACCTCATAATCCAGTGCGCCTTTTCGTGCGGAAAATACGGTAATTGTTACACAATGCATCCCTTTCCACATTGTCAATCCTCAGGAACAGCACGGTGGCCGACTCCTACAAGCAGACCAACGTCACACATGGCAACAAAACCGTGTTGGAAGGAGGCTACTATTATCTCAACAACTTCAACAACATTCTCAGCAGCTTTGGTAACAAGTTTTCATCTTTTCTGTTGTGTAATTGCTGAGCAAAGAATACCTGCAGCACGTTGGCTGAACGTTACCATTGACGCGCTAACCAACGGGCCCAGCTAGCAGGGAGTTTCGTTCCCTTTAAGTACGTTGGCTTGTCTTTTCCGCTTCCTCCAGTGACTCTCTTTGAGCTGACTGTGGTCAACAACTGGTACATCACAATGGTGAGATGATGTCCGAAGATGACGTCATTTCCTGCCTATTGCTGCTTGACCGCTATCGTGTTCCCTGCTCTCTAGGAAGGAGTGACCTCCATGACCAGCCACTGGAGTCGACTCTACTTCATGACTTTCTACATCGTCACCATGGTGGGGCTCGCTGTGGCGTGTCACCGAACGCATTTCGCATTGCTTTTTTGTGATGCACAACGTTGCTCTGCCCCCCACCCCTTTTTTTAGGTGGTCATGACCATCATTGTGGCCTTCATCCTGGATGCTTTCGTCTTCCGCATGAACTACAGTCGCAAGAACCGGGAAATGCTGGATAACCCTCAGGGTGGGACACAGTGAGGGTTTGTGTGTGTGTGTGTGTGTGTGTGTGTGTGTGTGTGTGTGTGTGTGTGTGTGTGTGTGTGTGTGTGTGTGTGTGTGTGTGTGTGTGTTTTCGTGTGTACAGGTATCTATGTATATGAAATGCCTTTTGGATTCACACCTGACTTAAGGCAGAATCTGTCAGTTAAAGGGGAAGTCGAGTCCAAATTTTTCTTCGCTGTATGTTCTGTAAGACCCTACTAGTTTATAGTTGGTATTCTGGTTAATGTTGGATTTGTGGATTAGGAATTAAGCAGAAACATTTTTTTTTTTTTTTTTAAAACTACAAGTACAAGGCTGCCATTTTGCCATGTCCTTCTACTTGCTATCGATTGAAAATGACATCACAATGCCTAAAGGCGCAGGTAATGACTGCCACGTCTTAACCTGTTTTCTGAGTTGGTCATGTGACATTCGCAGGCTGAGCCCTTTGGCTTGTCATCTCATTTTCAGTCAACAGCAAGCGGCGGTATGAGGCAAAATCGTGAATTTAGATACGAATGGACAAACACAGTCACTTATTCTCCATAGCGACAAGTGAAGCGACCGCCGGCCGTCTTGCGTTGCCACTCGCTCAGCGTGCCTAACTTGAATGCATTGGTTTTTCTGCGGCGTTTTAATGTTATTTTAAGTCTGACGTGGTATGTAGCCTATATGCGCATTTCATCAGTAAGAATGTGGTTTTGCTTCTAAGGTATCTCCAAGTGCTACTAAAAAAAATTGCGTCATGTTGTCAGAACTCTGAACAATGAAATGAAAGCAAGGCTTATCGGGACATAAAATCGCTGTGAAATGTAAACCTAATCTCTGCAATTCAGGATACTGACAGAATACACTGAATGGTCGATGTAGTGGTTCTTTTCGAGGCGCTCGTTATTCCACACAGGGATCCTGCCGTACAACCTGATGTTTAGTGCTCTGTCCACTGTGGTTCAAAACAGCGAAGCCATGTTGTCTTTGTGCTCCAGATGAGAATGGAATCGTGTTTGAAGTGGAAGTGACGCGTGACGAAGCTCTGTCCACTCTGGAGTTTTACAAGCAGACATGTCCTGGACAGTCGTCTCTCAGCTCTCTGGTGGGAGTCGTGCAAGCAATGGACCGCAGTGGGGTAAAACCACCGGCATACTTTTCACATACACACACACACACACCCTTATTTATTTATTTTTTTTAAACAACCTTCCTCCTTTTTTACTTCAGAGTGAACAGCACTCACCCCTGTTATACCAAGGGCGGAGATCAAGGACAAAGTGTGACCTCAGCATGAAAATGTATGAGGAAGAGATGCAGGTGAGAAGAAACATTTGTCGCTGTTGGCTGGATTTACTTTGAAGGTCGGCTTGCTCGTTGTATTTCCATTGAGTGAACACCTGCATGTGCTAATGTCCAAAACGTAGATCAACAACGACACAAGTATCAGCACCGGCGAGCAACGACACAGAAACAATATTATAAAACATTAAACGTTAGATCCTATTGATTTGGTTTGGAAAAAAACTTTTTTTTGATGAGGAAACTCGGACTGTGTGGTATTATACTTAATAAAACCATACAGATGATGATTTGACTAGAAGGTAAGGGATGAAACGGTTTGTGAATCATGATAAATTCATTGCGATACCTTCTGGTGTGCGTAACCATGTCTCTTGGGGTGGTGGTGGGGGGAGGGGGGAGTATAACGCAGATACAGCTGAAGAGTTTCTCAAATACAGTATTTGGTTCAATAAGGTGCAGTAATACGTATTTTTCGCAGAGGATAAAGAATATGTAACTGGAGTTTTACCGGTCTACGGGTGTTGCTGCACCATTTGTGCTCAAATATCTGTTGCATTATAACACTGCCATTGGCGCGTGTGCGTGCGTGTGTGTGTTTTAACTATTTGCCAAACTTCTGCTTGTTGTGAAATGAGTTGAGCACTCGAATTTCAAGGCAGCACTGTATACTGTATATATAAAACTGCATTTGGAAGAGGCCCGATTCAAAATTGAGATCCAGTTTCATGCATTTTTTTTTAAATCACATAGCCTTAATTGTTGATTATAGAACTCGTATGAGTGCATCTCCTGACATGTCACTTCTCCTCCTTTTCTTCCAGGAGTGGTATTTCGAGTATTCAAGGGGAAACCTGCCTCAGCCAGACCAAAATCAAGAGCCCGACTTGGACAGTCCCACATCCAATCCGCCTTTTGTGCCTGCACCTCAGCTAAACTCACATGCTGGACATTACAGTATTAACTGAGTAACTCATGCGGCAGTGATCTTACAATTGTATCGCTGCAGGACTTTTAATCCCACCCAACACACTCAACACACCATTTCCCACAGTGGGAGCTGGTCTGGTGTCTTGATGTAAGATGACGAAATGGTGGCCTCGCTCTGGACAGACAGCAGCTCCACTGCTCAGACAGACAAGTGGTACATTTGCCAGGAACCATTAAAGCTTATGTAAGGAGCCTGTTAATACTTCTATTACAGTATGTAATGTACAGATGTATTGAACGCCGGAGGGCTTTTGTGGCCTCCTTTAAAACCCCGGTTTAACCAAAGTCGGGCTGCCATGGATAATGTCAAAATATGACTAATTAGTTTCTTCAATAGCTTAACAATTGAGGACCGTTTACTGGCAAGGGTTTCTCAAATTGATCCCCAAGCAGCAATATCCATGCAATACATCTAATGCAGCAATACCTGAAGCTGTCCCAAGTCCACATTCAATATTGCTGAATTCCTTTGACCTTAAGTCAGTTTTGTATATTGACTAAAACCAACAAATCTCATCGGTTTGTCTATCTTTGTACTGTATTAAATTATATTTCTGTGTAACACAGCGCCTTAACTTCTTTGGTGTTGGTGTGTGTAAATGATGTATTTCAACCCGATGCCTTAAATTAATGGCTCATCAGCTTAGAATTAACAATCACAACCAGGATAAACACAACTTTTTAGCTGTACTCCACAAGCACGGACAAAATGAATCATTTTTGAGCTGGTGGCAGTGTATTTGCAGAGTTGAAATAAAAAGTGACAAAAATGGTATCACAATATATGAAAGGCACAATGTAGTTCCCATATGTAATAACCTCCAAATCAACTTGATTGTCATGTACAGTACATTCAGTTATTGTATAGAGTTAAAAAGAGCAGATTTTGGAGAACATGATGAAATGAAATGCTGAATTGATTTTACCCGTGTTGTCTTTTTGAAAACCCACATTGTCATAGTGGTGTCAGACACAAGATTTAAAAAAAAAAGAATATTAAAAATGTTGGCAAATTGATGCTATGGCCTTCTGGAGTAAAATCTGCATGGCTCCATGACTTCAATACAGCGATCAAGGTAATGTAAAAGTAGCAGTCAAGTAGGCTATAAAAAGAGTGCTCAAGTGGTTCCAGTATATCAATTCCCCATCCCTCATGCAAGGCTGCCCTCGACAGTCTATGCTACGTAGATGATGCCAAACTCTGTGAGTAAAGCAACGATGAGGAAAACGGCGTAGAAGATGAGCAGGAAAATGCCGTAGGGCCAACCCAAGTGGAAGCGGCTCATTGGAACGATGACAAAAGACAGAACCAAAGACAAGCCCAGAGACGCTGCCAAGATCCATGTCAGCAGTCCCTCTGGTTCCAGCTGAGAAGAAAAAAAAAAGACATGCATCGATCAGGCACCTCACTGACAATATCGTATACAACGGCTGGATCAAATCTTCTCCCGTTACAAAGGTCAGTTTGTGCTCAGATAAGATGGAATCCAACAGTGATTCTCAACTAGTGGGTAGTAAAATATTACAGGGCTTGCGACCCAGTTTATGGATTCACTTATTCCCATTTTTTCTCCTGTGGAACCCATTCTCAGCTATTGAAAAAAATTTGCACACTTTCGATAAGCCACAACATCGCTCCAAAGGCTTGACTAATAGGACAGTATAGTTGTAGTTGGGTCACTGGTGGGAGTTACGGAGATTCTTTGTTGCTTGTACATGTATGCGGTGCATTTTTTTTTAATCACATCATCTCAGCCATTTATTTGTAACTATTTTTTTAAAGTTACATTTATGTTTTAACCCTTTCAGGGACAGGGGTTACGACAGTGCACAGCATATCATGTTATTAGGTTCGAGGGTGCATGAACGGGTTAAAGTGTTAATATTGGAAGGTAAATGTTTTTGGTGGCGTGAAAATTACTAAAAGGCTTTTTGGACAATATAGCTTTGTTTTTTTGTAACAAAATGGGTCAAATATATGAAATGTGGGTCCCACAGTGACAAGAGTTGAGAAGCCACTGGTATAGGACAACTGCAATCCACAAACCATAACAAGCATTTTTGAAATAATACCTTTAATTAAACATATTCGACGCAGTGCTTGTATCACATTATAAGTTGAGCGTATTTATTTATAGAATATTTTTGTGTGTGTGAACTACCTGCACTTCAGAGTGCGTTTTGATCCTCTGCACCAGACAGCCCAAACCCACTCCAAACAACATGTCTGGTGGAGATGCAGTTAAGGTACGGGGTGTTCTCCCATCATTTGTGACAAACCTTTACTGGATTTAAATAAAAACTTGAACTGTGCATCTCTTGTCTCAAATTCATTTTTTGACGTCAAATCCAAAGCTGAAAAGTTCAATGTGAGCAAGTGAAGTTAAAATAAGGATACTGAAAATGATGCCCCCGAAGCAGGCAGATATGGCCATTCTGGGGTAACCCTGTCGTGCGAGGGTGATGTCTGAGAAACAGTCTAATACAAGACAAGTTAATGTTTAAAAAGTTTTTTTCAATAGCACATAAACACAGAACCTCTCTGAGCGGGCTCACCTCCAATGCTGTTGCCCCAGGCCAGAAGAGTCAAGCCCAGCACAGTGTTACTGAGACTGAGCACCACGCCAAGCATGTGCAGAATACTGACCACTTCGGACGCCGCCGCGCTGATCAACACTGCGCTCACCACGAAGCCCAAAAGTGCAAAGATCTGGCGAGAACATATCTCATCATGTTGGATCGGGACAAAAGGAAAGTGGATACGCAATCTGTGTGTTTAGGACATATGCTTTGATTCTTAACACACACTGACCGGGTGATATCTTGGGGGGCATTCGTTAGTGGTGCTGCAGAACACGATAGCACATAGAAAGAGCCCCAGGAGAAGAGTCAGCAGCCACAGAGGAAACTGGCCCTCAATCATGTAATCTCCAACTAGGCAGAAAGAACAAGCGCATTTAATTTAAAGACGAAGCATATGCATGTTGAAATGTTTACAAAAGGTCCAATGAAGTTCACATGTAAAGGTCTTTGCGCATTGTGGGTCCACAGTGAAATTTCACCTGAAAGCCGAATCACTTGTTCTCCCAAATAATATTTCATGTTGACGTCTCAAAGGTAGATACAAAAAAAAAATAATAATAATAATAATCCCGACAGTGACAACTCATCATATAATGTCCCACAGTGAGATCTCGACAATCATACTGCAAAGAGTTCATTTCCTCTTCCCACTTACAAATTCCAGACTGGAAAGCGAGGACACACATGAGCGGGGCAGTGACCAGATGAAGACAGTTGAGAGGTCGTCTCCAGTTCCTGTCTTCTTTATCAAGATCTACGACGGGGATGCACAGCAGCAGCATGACCTCCACAGGGGTCTGCGAGGAGGCGGACGCCGCCATTTAATAAAAGAGTTCACATGGAATTGGACTTGGTGTGTCTGTTTTTGGCACACCTTCAAAACTTTGAGGACTCTCCACTTCCATTTTTTCCTCCTCCACTTCCTGCTGTCCACCGGGTTGAGAGAGCTCAGCAAGATCCGGCTGGTGGACTCGGGGTATTGCAGGAGAGGCCTGTACTCCGACTCTGTAACGCACCAGAAATGCAAGAGAGGTGCTCCTGAATTTGAGCCAAGATTAATATTGTTAACGAAAACAAACGAAAAAACTACAACTACATCTGACTATCCTTACTGAGGAAATCTCCCTTGTTTTTGTCTTTGTCAACGAATTTCATACGGGAGCTTTTTGGGGTTCAATTCAAATGTATTTATGGCCGTAGTTTATTGACTTTTCTTTTTTTATCTGGCCATCAAAAAAAAAAAAAAAAAAAGCTAACAAACCAGTGGCCCGGAAGACCAGTGTTTAGCGTATTGGTGTCAAACATACGGCCCGCGGGCCAGAACCGGCCCGCAAGGAGGTTTGATCAGGCCCGCAGGATAATTTAAAAGTGAAATTTTTAATAGGGTGCAATTCATGGAACATCCGCCAGGGGGACCCACTGTTTTGATCAGAGGAAAAGACAACATTGTTTTGATCAGAGAAGAAGACAACAGCAGCCTCAGTCTGTCACTGAGACAGACCCAACACAGCAGATGCTATCAAGGACGTGAATACTTTATTTTTTACACATATTATAGCACTCTCCTTAGTTTGTAAGGTGTAGGCAGGGATTACATTTAGATTTTATATGCTCGTGTAAATGGTTTAAAAATTCCTTTCTTTTGTAAATCTCGTTTAATCTTAAAAGTGCATTACTATACTATATTTTTCAATACCAATTACTTGTTAAGGTTTTGTGCCTTTGTACAGTCAGTGGGATCAATTGCAATGCATATATGTGAATGATAAAAGTAAATTGCACATTTGTCTAAGGAAATCTTAGGTGCTTCATGAAATGTTTTGTAAAAGATATGTTCATTAAATTTCAACATTTTCCGAGTGTTCTTGTGCTTCTTTAGACCAAAACAAAGGAAAGACATATTATTTTGGTTATTTATAGCAGAGTATGGTATAATTTTTAATGGTCCGGCCTACTTTATACTGTATCTACCGAGGCCGTATGTGGCCCACAATGTGAAATGAGCTTGACACCCCTGGTTTAGCGTGTCGACCTCACAGCGCAGAGGTCATGGGTTCGATTCCAGGTCTGGCCTTCCTGTGTGGAGTTTGCATGTTTTCCCCGGGCCTGTGTGGGTTTTCTCCGGGTATTCCGGTTTCCTCCCACATTCCAAAAACATGCACGGCAGGCTGATTGAACACTAAATTGTCCCTAGTTGTGAGTGTGAGCGCGGATGGATGTTCGTCTCTGTGTGCCCTGCAATTGGCTGGCAACCAGTTCAGGGTGTCCCCCGTCTACTGCCCAAAGACAGCTGGGATACGCTCCAGCACCCCCCCCGCCCCACCGCCCCTTGTGAGGATGAAGCGGATCAGAAAATGAATGAATAAACTAACAAACCTGCTCTAAAAACGTATTAAAACTTAATTTAACCTTTTCATGCACCAATAATAACCTGTAACCTGATAAGCTGTCCACTGTCGTGACCGCTGTACCCTGCAAGGGTTAAGAAACAAAAATCAAAAGGAAACAAAAACTATCATGAAAAAAATCCAAATGTATTACAACTCACAAAAAAGTAATTTCTTCGTGTCAGCCTTTTGCTCCAACAGGAAGTAGTACTGTACTGTGATTTTCTCTTTCTCGTTTTCTGCCTTGTGAAGGTTTTTGCTTCTCTGTTTTGTTTGGTAAAAGTAGACTTCCTTCTGTTGTACTCCATCGAGCTCTTTTGGGTTTCCCCATCAACCGTTTTGTCGTGTCAACTTTTTCTTGCTTGCATTTCTTCTCACACTTGCCAGTCAATCAAAAGGCACATGCATAAAAAAAACACGCATTCACACCGGAGTTGAAATGGGAATCATTTTCTGTCCCAAGAGTTTCACGGCTCGCTGGGGTGGGCTGGCCTACGTGGGAGATGGGGCTTCCCCCGGTGAACAAAAAATAAAAAGGGGAAAGAAATGTAGCAACATGCCCACTAGGAATGTAATGAGGGGTTTCCTCTCCATTTTTGTTAATCAAACGGGGAATGAGACTGCAAGTACGGTATGGTGTCACTTCGATTAAAATTGTGGCTTCTCACCATATTCTTGTTGGTCTGTCTCAGCGAGCAGACAGGGAACGTCATTATCATACAAGTCCGACGATTCGAGCCCCGCTGCAGAGACAACAAACATTGATTGAATGAATTTGTATTGCTTTGTGTGGGAGTGAGTGTGTGTGTGTGCGCGCGTATGTGTTGAACCTTGAATATGTGGACCAGTCTCGACCGTCGCGCCGCGCAAATGCTTTTGTCTGCTATAGATGTAGGCACTGATGACTACTGTCAATACATACGCCACATAGAGGCCCAAGTAGCCTACAAACATGAGATACACACATAAATGTTATGAATGCTGCAAGAGAAATCAAGGTAGGGGATGTCACAGAGGTGAAAAAAAAATGTCTCGGTGTCCACCCAGTGTTTCTGCCAGCGTGGTAGTTCCTCTGTAGAGGATGAGGTAAGTCCAGAAGACTGCCACCATGTAGAAGATGACGTCACGCAAGAAAGGACGTGAGGGTACGGCGAAAGGTTTGACCAGCGCCACGCTGCCGGCAACAATCGTGGTGACAAATACACCGGCGCCTGCCAAAAGTGATGGACAAAGTGGATCATTTGCACGCACTTCAGATTTATACTGAATCTGATCGTGTGTCACCCGCACCAAATAACGCTCCGACCGCCAGCCCAGCGGTGTGAGGGCGGGAGAATGCCGCGATGGCACTGAAGATGTCTGGAGCTCCATTACCAAGTGCCAGGAAGGTCACACCCTCGAAAAAAGATATTAGTCAAGGAGAGTGTGGACAAAAAAAAAAAGAGTTGTTGATGAATATGGTAAACTTTGGCGTGCTGGATTATGTAACTATGTTAAAGCACTACATCCCACTATATCCTGTTTGCTGTGTTTTGTATTTGCTTTTATTTTACTTTGTTTTTATCTCTACCAAAGGCATTTAGTCTGGGCTGTGATGTATTGCAAAAAATAAAAAATAAATGAAGAAATCCTTGGAAGTGAAGTATTTTTTTAAATACAACTAGAAGATTGTGAATGCAACACCAAAATTGATGTAAACGTCTTAATCCCATCACATTGCGTGAGTGGCAGTTTTGTTGCGATAAAACAGAGAGAGGGCTAGAGATGAAGGATACAGCGACGTTGTGAGTGAGGTGCAGACTTGTGGAGATGGCTGACAGGTTGGGACAAAAACTGTGGAGAAATGGAGAAGAACTCGGTTACATTTTAAATGTTTGCTGAACGGATACAACAGCTCCTCTCCCGTTCATGGTCAGTGTCGTGAAGCCGAAACGCAGAACAAGGTCCACTTTCAAAGTCACTCCAGTGAAGCGTAACAAATGATCATTTGACAGTCAAACTGTGCATGTGACTGAAACAGGAGTTATGCAACAAATAGATCATTTCACATTCTATCTGACTGAATGTAATTCATGAAGAAAAAAAAAATGACTACGGCCGTGAAACCTGACAGGACACAACGGATTTTAGACAGAAAAAAAAAGACTTACAATTTAGATGCGATGAGGCCAAGTATGATGAACAAAAAGAACAACCATGTAATCTGTGGAGAATCGGAGGGAAGAAATATCAGACATGTTGTAGTTTCTTTTCGGACGTGTAAAAGAAACATGAACTGTGTAACCAAAAGCGAAGTGTATTTACATTGGTAACTACTGTGGTCACCTTGTGTTGCAAAGTGTGACGTAGAGACAAAGAAAATCCCACAGTTCCGACAAATTCAAATTCCCCCAGACTTCCTCAAATGGTACACACACGCACACACACGCACACGCACGCACACGCACGCACACACACAAGTCTTACACAGAGAATGACTGTGAGAGGTGTGAGGTCAGGGGGAAGCAGACAGAAGGCCACTTGAAGATAGTTGATGAAGCCATCTTCCAAGCTGCAGTCTGGCGTGTTCTTGACGAATGCGCAGCGGTCCGCAGCGCTGACATTCATCACATGATCGCACTGAACACACAAACACATACGTATACCGTGTATATCAGCTGTCATTATTTCCCCCATGCTTCATTTGTTTATTGCAGGCATTTGCTGTGGACAAATTAATCAGAGCGCATCTGCATATCTAACATTCAATATCAGAGTTGAAGAACTTTTCAGTATGTCGTGGGCAAAATGATATTTCTTGTTGTGTACATTTGTGAGAATAGTGACGTAAATACTTTGCTTTTGCCAACAGTTTGGTATCATGTGTATAATAATAGAAATTTCGAACATGCACACATCAATAATCAATTATAATTGTGCAAAAAAAATTTTTTTAGATATATCTGAGCAAAATTCAGTATTTAAATACAAAACAAAAAATATATGTTCATTGCAATTATTAAATGTATTTTTACATTTTAAAGTTATTTGTTTCCCCTTAAAAACACTGCAAACTCCAAAATTATGTTGTTCACGTTTTTCATATTTAAAAAAAATCTGTCCTCAAAATGGAACTTAGTTTTTAGCAGATATTACCGCAATATAAAACTTATTTTCATCGTTTTCTTATTTTTATTAGTCTTGAAGAATGAAGTTGATATTTGTAGTTTATAGTGCTAATGTGTAATATTGTAGAAATACTCAGTGTTGTCATATTATAAAATCATGATTACAGTAACTAATTCAAATTTACAGTACTGTGCGTTCGTAGGTTCCCTTTACATATCAACAAGTATTAGATTGTGCAGGTAGAAACATGATTTTTTCAGCTGTCATTATTGCCTGTGGTCATGTGACCCAAATCTGCTGACATGTTGCATTCGACTTAACGACTGCATATTTTCAAAAGAAACACTTCATAACGATTGTGTCCACAAAATCCAATATAAGGAGGGACAGTTCATGTTCACTTCTTATCGCACCAACCTCGTCTTCGTTGTTTATCCGAGACACAACGGCCAGTGAGGCATTCACGTACCCTCCGTCTACTTCCATACCTGTCCGGGTCGTGTGGACAGAGAAGTCCGAGATGACTTGCTGGGACAACAATGTCCCAACCAGCAGACATAAAAGAGTAGCCACAGACATGACTTTTGCTTTCTTTCTTTTATCCAGGAGCCACGTCCATGCTGGTGACAGTTACACGCAAGACGACGGCATTCCGTTTTCGGCTAAAACTAAAATAAAAATATTATCGAGAGACATTAAAACATAGAGCTCGATTTTTGTATAGCTGCACATTCGCGAAAACGTGAAGTACGATCCTGTAGATTTCTTTCCACGCGCGACTGCTAAAATTCTGGACAGATACAGAGGGGGAAGCTCCGCCCACCAGACATGAACTACGTGTGTTTCCTTCAAAGACTTGGTGTAAAATCAACGATTCCCTCGACAAATAAATGTTATTGGAATGTAAAAAATGATTAGGTAAAAAAAACCGATTCCCGTGACAAAGAAATGTTATTGGAATGTAAAAAATTAATATTCTGTTTAAAAAAAAAGGCAGCGATTCCCATCACAACCCCCCTCCCCCCCACAAAAAAACTGTTTAAAGGCATTTATATGAACCTGTTGTATGATTTTGGACAAAACAAAAACACGGTTTGACAGAAGCAATGGGAGACTACACTAATGTACCAAAATACAATTGGAAATGTGAAACATTTTTTATTATGTGTACATCTTTTTAAAATTCCCACGTTTTCAAAGTTTTAGAAGGCACCGTGGCTGTTGAACTTTACCATTTAAACCAAGCTGTCAAAGTCAAGGCCCGGGGGCCACATCTGGCCCACCACATCATTTTATGTGGCCCACGAAAGCAAATCAAGCATGTCAACTTCCATGATGTTTGCTGAAGACTGAACCAAAAATTCAAATTGTCATATCTAATCCAAAATAACAATGTTTTAACAAGCCATTATTCTCGCTTCTGGTTTCAAAACAAGCTATCCATCAATTTTTTTGTTCGCTGTGTATGTAATATGTGGAGGGGGTCAAACCTTTAGATGGTTTTAACAAGATTCACAGTCATAATGGCCCTCTGAGGGGAAACCGTACCGACAATGTGGCCGGCAACAAAAATGAGTTTGACACCCCTGATTTAAACCAACCAAGATGCCCCAAACTGTACAAGCGCTTGAACTTTTAATTCGGAGCACAAAAACATTTCCAGTAAAGGACACAAATGAAATTGCATTAGGTTATAGTTACATGTATGTAATATTATGTACTGTAAATGCTTTACAAATAGACCAGTTCCATTGTAATTCAATGCAGATTTCATTTGTGGAATAACTGGCATCCAAAAAAGGATATGATATAGTAACTAATAAAGATGTATTACTTTATAAATGTTAGAAGTCCAGTATAGGTCAGTTTTCATCTTTATTTGCCTGGTCATACACTAGTGCTGAATCAAGGCCTGGACAGTTGGTATTGTAGCATCCTCTATCCTTGTTAAATGCCACGATGTTTAAGTCTTGTTCACACCACCTGATGAAGCAATGTAAAGAATTCAATTTTTTTTTTTTTTACTTTATTTTTACCCCCCCTTTTTTTTTTTTTTTTTTTTTTACCTGAGAGCTGCATAGACGTCAGCTGGAGATGCTCCTTTCCAACTTGCATGATCAATAAGAAGGGCACCTATGATTAAGGAGAAGGGTGTGTGCAGTTAGAGGACGTCAATTTAATCTCTTCAATTGTACTATATGTTTGCATTTATCATCTACCCGTGTAGATGCGAGCCAAGCTGTATGCTAAGTCTCTGGCTGCTAGTTCGAGATAGCCCGGCACTTTGGTGGCTGCCTCCTGGACAAAGCCTTCTAGATCAGAGAGAGCCCCGTCTACTGCTCTAATAGCTGGGTCCAGAGAGGAGACACTTGAAGCTGCTGCAAGCAGGGACCACACACACACACACACACACACACACACACACACACACACACACACACACACACACACACACACACACAGTATCACTCGATAATTCCCGTTTGACGACAGTTGGTGGACCCGCTTGACGTGTTTTTCCAACAGGCATTTACTTTGACATGAGTGAAATAAGCACAGAGAACCATTCCTGAGCTCCGATTCACACAGCGCAGCACGTCCAGGGACAAAACATTTGTTGTACCTTCCCATATGCTCAGCACCTAACACACAAAAAAAACACACATACACAAAATGTGTCATCTATATGCAGAGGGTTACGTTTTAAACCTCATGACTTTGTTCCCCTCCTATTTTTTCCCTGGATACAGCTTTGAATATATATAACAAATTATTAGCCTAATAACATAGTTGACAAAGTTATATTTGAAGGCTTTGGGAAAAAAAAAGCAAGTAATTGGGTGTTTTTATTCACCTGGTGACAATGACATGTTAATGACTTCGGAAATTGTGCTACTGGGCGACTGTTAAACATGATGTCATAAAAATGCCAAAAGACAATAACCATTTTCAGTATGAAAAAGTAACAGGATTAGTTTTATGTGGGCAAGAAAATCTGGGTCATCGTTCACCTGTGCATCCCGAAGTAGTCCTGGCAGCCCGGTGTCCTCGATGTAGCCCTGCCCGCCAAAGCTCTCCAAACCCTCGGACACCACAGCGACCGCCTGAAATTAAAAACGAGCTCAGAGTCCAGACTCAGTTGGACAACCTTTGGCTAGTCCTAAGCACTTGTGCTCGCCTGTTTGGCAGTGTAGAGTTTGACAACAGGTGTGAGGAGACGTAAGAGGTGTGTATCAAACTGGGTGGCGATGCCGCTCTCCTCTCGTCCCAAAAGGCGGCAGACATCCATCACCAGAAGGAACGCTCCACGACTCTCCACCTGCGTACGTCACAGGCATATAGCCATTGCATACAAAGTGAATACGGAGAGTCGACACACCCCAGCCCTCAATTTTGTGCACTTAGCAGTTTGTCGCTCTATTACTTAAGTCCATGTATTTGCATTCGTTCATGAGTAGAGCTGACACATCCAATATGGTGGATGCACGGACGCATCACAGAAACAGCTTACCTCCATCCTGGCAAGGGTCTGCATGTGCAGCGGGTGCTCTTTAAGAAGCTTTCCGAAAGCCGTGCGGCGAGTGGCATAGTCACGTGCTAACTGGACCACCCTGTGCGCACATGAGCATCATTAATCTGCTCAACTGGAGCAAAAGGGAGTAAATTTGGACAGGAAGTCATTTAAGTGCTTGAGTTGTATTGTGCCTTCTCATTGCTGCTGCTGCAGCGATGCTGTTGTGGATCCTGGTTATAGTTAGCATGTTCGTTATGGCGGCCACACCCCTTCCTTCTTCTGACAGCTGGACATAAAGCAGAGTGAATAAACACAACAAATGGTATATGGATTTCGAAAATTCAAAAATGTATACCCAGCAGCCATTTCATCGTCCTCCTGCACTCAATTAACAATATAGTTGTCATATTGAGAGGTGTGTCTCATATTTAGCAATGTTAAAATATTGGAAACACCTCTCCGTACGATGCAGTACAGTGAAGAGCAAGCACTACGACCGACAACCAGCATGAACATACTGGTAAAATGAGTACCTTTGACTGTGTTCATTAAAACTCCATATTATAGTTTAGTACAACATTTCAGTTACAGGTCCGGTATAGGATGAAGGATGACTATAGATTACACAGTTGTCGGGAACTGACCCTGTGTGCCCGGAGGCCGTCCAGCAATAACTCGGCCGTGGGCATCTGTCTGGTGCCCAGCTTGTCCTTCAGCCTCTGAACCTCAATCCCTCTCAGACAGCCATCTTGGTCTCGACTAACCTCTGCGTAGAACAGTGACAAACCTCGGCTGCCCTTGAGGAACACAAAAGTCTCAGGGAAATCTCATTCTCTGACACACACACACACAGTTTAAGCAGTACCGGTGTGGTTGCTCCTGCTCTGTCACACACTCTGGCCAGTGTAAGAGTCATGTCTGCATCACTGGCAGAGGTGAACCACTTGAAGCCAAATAGTTTATAGCAACCATCTGTTTGCGGGACAGCCACTGTTTCCGTGCCAGTGGCTGAAAAGACATACACGCGTGGAATAAGTCACGACACAGATGTGAGTTTTGCATCAGTTTATAATCATGTACAGTATTATAACTACAACTCACCTACATCTGAGCCTCCTTGTCTTTCTGTCATCCACTGTCCTGATGTCCAGAAATGTTCAGGCTGGCGGCTGGTTAGTCGATTGTAGGCTTCTTCTACGGGCCAAGAAATGCCTATCGACTAAACAGAAACACACACACGCTTGACTTGCTTGGAGCTGGTGTTTCCTGATCTTTATTGGGCCAAAGCACATTACGTTGGAAACATCTCATACCATGCCATCAAACAAATGTGACGACAAAAATGTATAATATAAATAAATAAAACTGACATAATGATAGTTGATAAAAGTCAAATGTAACCACATATTGGAGGCAGGATCTGTCAACTAATGGCCAAGTATTTAATTGTTCTCCTTGTCATTATTTGTCACTGGCATTGATAGATGAGCAAAGATACATGACAGGTATTGGTGGTGAATAAATAATTTTCGGACCAATTTCGTGCAATTGCGTAATTTCCAACAGCACACGTGGTGATGTCTCACACGAATGTGCCGTGGCAAAAATAACTGGAATCAGTTCTCTAAATGGTGGATTTTTAGATGATCAATTTATTGCATGCAAGTAACTGACAGATTGACACATTAACAATGTAGTCATCATTAGCCATCAATTCTTATCTCAATGAATAACAAGGGGTTTGTCTACATGTTTCTGTGACAATATATGCGTGATGTCGACCTGTAGCTAGCCAAGTGTTTTTGGCTTGAGGAGAAGGCCAAGCCACGCGCAGCAACAGGTGAGTTGCCGAATGAAATTCGTATGTCAGCTACATTGATTTAAATTTTCTTCTATTTCTGAATGCGAATGTTCGCTGCTGGAGGAACATCACCGATTCCCATCATCCGCTGCTGTGGTGGGCCCAGAACGAGGGGAGGTTTCTCTTGTCTATTGTAAAGATGAGACATTATTCACCTGAATGACTTTGGCAGCCCCGTCAGTCATGGCCAGAGGACAAGTGTAGAGGCCAGAGGAGGGGGAGAAAATGTACAACTTGCTCATCTGATAGACCCGGCTGGAACAAAAACACACTTACATCAATTCCTTTTGTCAATGACAACCATACTTATTCAGTGGTATTTGTGTGTGTGGGGGGGGGGGGGGGGGGGGGGGGGGGGTAAAAACCTCCACTCTCCAAATGGCCTCTCATAAGCGATGCTGACCAATCCCTCCTGCGCGGACAACTCTTTCATGCGTTTCCACGCTGGGGAAGTCAGGATGTGGTCCACTCTGCGTCCCCAAGGGTCAAAGTGCGCCAACCGAGGGGGAGTGATCTCACACTCCCTGCCCCACCCGTCCACCTCCGTCGCCACACGCTTGCCGAAGGCACACAAGTCTGGGAACACTGCCTAAGAAATGAACACGCGAATGTGGAACAGACTAAATCACCTTGTATATGTAGTTGTTACCTCACACATTACATGCATGACGCAGTGCAGTAAAAGGAAAAATAAATGCAAGGAAGTTCACTACGACATCGGAACTTTACTTGGGTTAATCAGAGGCACTTTACATGGAGGCAGGTATGTGCTGACTCACATTCAACATGAGTTTGAATCTCCATCCATCCATCCATCAATTTTCGGATCCGCTTTATCCTCACAAGGGTCACAGGGGGTGCTGGAGCCTATCCCAGCTGTCTTCGGGCATTAAGCGGTGAACACCCTGGACCGGTTGCCAACCAATTGCAAGGCACATAGAGACGAACAACCATTCGCGCTCACACTCACACCTAGGGACAATTTAGAGTGTTCAATCAGCCTGCCATGCATGTTTTTTGGAATGTGGGAGGAAACCAGAGTACCCAGAGAAAATCCACGCAGGCGTGGGGAGAACATGCAAACCCCACACAAGGAGGTACCTCTGTACTGTGTGGTCGACGCGCTAACCACTGGACCACCGGGCCGGCGAGTTTGAATCTGATTGGTTAATTCAGAACACAGTCACATCCCCAGGATAGAGCTATACTTTACGTATTCAAACAACAATTAGCAAAATCATCAGGCTCCAACAATAACACGGTTGCCGCGAATAAAACTTTTGAATGAAATTGAATCAATGGAAAAAAAACATCCCAACAATGTTGAAAAATGATACTATTTAGCAAGATTATAGGAACAAAGTTACAAACAAAATACATATTGTAGTTTATATATTCTGTATGTATTGTCTATTGGAAGTGAAGTCAACCCCGAGTGTAAATACTTTTAAATACAGGTTAAAAACTGTGTTTTTCTTATAACTGAAGGTCTTTTAAACATTTTTAAATCAAGTTCACTGTCTGTCTTTTAGTGTGTTTAAATGTAAATGTACTTCATTTTTGGAATTTTGGTAACATGCTTTTGTTTTTTCTGATTTGCTTCTGAATGTTGTGTTTGTAAATTATTTTAGGTGTTGTGATTTTGCTTGTGTGAAGCACATTGAGTTGTCTTGTGTATGAAATGTGCTATATAAATAAAGCTGCATTGCTTTACCTTGGGGGCCAAAACAATAAATGCTTCCTCTGAAATTTCTGTCTGACAGCGATTTCAACATTCACTTAGTCTTCATGTTCCTCGCTCACCTCATGAGGAAGGTGTCTCCTCAAGTATCCCCTCAATAAGGCATCCTCCTGAAAAGGGTTCTTGAGTACAGGTCGGCCCTGAAAGAAAGATCCCAGCTTGGCTGCAGAAAAGGGCAACGCTGCCGCCGTTTCCCAGAGTTGCTCATCCTCGGATGGTCTCCTGCCTGCTTCAATGCTTCTGACACATCTGATGTGGATGGGGGGACAGGTGACACCACGGAGCACCTTCCAGCCACTGCAGCCACCAGCCTGGCAGTGCCTTAGGGCTGACATGGCTCTATGTCTAGGCAGTGTCCACTATCTAAAAGGAGGTGGGTGTGAGGGGACACAAAAATACTTTATTCCATTTACGAAATTGTAGGCTTAGAACAGAAAATATTTGGTAACTTCAGTAAAGTTCTCGACTTGCACTGCAGTTCCGTTCCGAATTTGTATGCACGTGAGAATACACAATATAAAACTAGCAAATGGAAAACAATAGCATGGAGGGAAATAAGCATGCCCTCTTCTTCTGGTGTGATTCTGTATTCTTATGCTGTGGAAACTAGTTTATTGCTCGCAGCTTGTAAATATAACGACAATTAAAAATGTTACACAACTACTTGTCATTTTTCATTCCGTTTTTTCTTGATTCATTCGAAAAATGTTGCCCATGCAGCTCAACAAAACAACTAAAAATCCCAAGTGTCTGCTGTTAAAATCTGTACAATAGATAGAATTCAAATCGGGGTTAAAGTTCATTTATTGCCTTTCTTGGCTTCGACTAAGAGGAACATGCTGTATTTTTAAATTTTTAATGCAAAGATAATGCAACCTAGTATTATTAGCTCCTCTGCCGATAGTTAGCCGATCTTCACAAGCACCGGGCTAACAATTTACGTTTCAGTTTCAGTACTGGTTTTTGTAGGAGGTATTTAAGTCGACGGACACCTCACGGTGAATGTAAATGTTATCATGTGACGTTTATGTCTTGATGTGAGCGTGAAGTCACGCGGAAAAAAGAAGACGCTGGTGAAAAGAGGCGACCTTACCGAGCAACGGAGCTGCTTTGTTTATGTTCACCAAATGTTCGCTTCCAAAATAAAAGCAGAATGCTGTCATTGACTAAGTCAGTGGTTCTTCAGCTTTTTACACCTAGTAGCATCTAAAACATATTTCCGCTCTAAAGCGCCACGGTCATGGCCAACATTAAAACAGGGGGCTTCATAAAAAACGGGGTTTTATTTACAATAATAATTATAACAAAATCATATTGTCACTATAGCAATTTCAATATATTGTGTTTATATGCGAATACGAATATATACAGACAATGAGCCAATTAAAATGTAATGTACATAAGTTATAAAAGCTGAATAAAAAGTCTAATTAAAAAATTAAAAGACAAACGCTTATTAAGATCTAATGCAAATGTATTTAATTTAAAAGTTAGCTGTATTGTAGGCAGTAATTTATTTCAGAGGGTGCCCGCGAACCGTTAGCGGTACCTGTCGCACTTTTAGAACCGATGCTGCATCCACATTGAACATAAGCGTGAGTATTGTGTAAGAGTTGAATGACGTGGTTCATGTGTTGTTACAAATTGTTTGACAGTTGGTACCTGCTTGAATCTGAAAGTCTAAAGTCTATTTTTCTGTTGGCCATGAAGTGGTGTTTTCGTGTTTTGAGAACAGTTTATACATCTAGGACAGTATATTCTTAGATTGGATCGAGTTTATTTTCAGCAGTAAAGGGGTCAGTTTAAGAAAATTGTGGTGATTTTTTTTAAAGTCTCATTTAGCTGTAGTTATTGAAATTGATATATCATGCCATGTTTTATGTCTGTTTTAGAAGGTATCAGGTCATGATCGCACTGAAAAGGTCCTTCGTGTATGTTGGCTCTATTTCAATTATACTTGACAATTTTCAGAAGACTCCTGGAAGTGGAAAAAGGATACAAAATTCTTTTAACCACATTTTTTAAAATTGCACTTGGCCACATCATGGTTGCGGGCCTACCCCAACTGATTAATTTGCATGTCGGAATGTTGGAGGAAACTGAAATACGTTATCCACAAAAATAGGGAGAACACATGCACGCCACAGCACAGTCAGACCTGAGATATGAATCCTTATCAGAACCATGAGGCAGGTGTACAAACCATAAGCACGTCGTCATTTTATATGAACTAAATTGGATTACCGTACTTGTTTCTCTTAACCTTGTTTACTTTTGCATAACAAATGGGAGCGTGTAGAATGTTGCACCGGTTTTATTGTTTAAGTAAAGCTTTTTCAAAAATACAGAACCATTTCTTCCGATTTAACACGAAGACTGAATCATGCAGTTTAATAAAAAGTTTTGTTGACATGGTAAAATATGTTCAAACGGAAAAACACAAGACCATGAGTAGGAACAATCTACTTAAGCATTAAATGGATTTTTTTTTTCTTCAATAACAAATAGAACAGGCGTTGACATTTATACTGATAAAACCCAGTATGAATTTCTTAGTGTGATATACTCGGTTTTCTAGTCAAGCTGGACAGGATGGGGCAGTATAATGACCAACACCGATGTTTTTGAGTATACAAAAATAATAGTTAACGTTTACAGAGAGATCGTAGTAGAGTGGGGTCCAGTCAAAACAAACTCTTAAAATACTTCGTATTAATGTCTCACCTGACAACGGCGCAAAATAGAGACCTGCATTTTTTTGTTTTTGTCACTGTCTTAGTTGACAAGATAGGGACCCTAAACTGTATTCCACCTCCAAAGTTTAAAGATAGTTTGGCTTCAGAACTGACGAACAAATATGGTAGAAGCAGGTTCGTAAAAAGACAAACAAAATCAACACGCTGGAGGGCTGCCAATAATGTAAAAACAGAAATAAAAGAAACACCGGCATTGAGTGTATGTTTACTGCTAAATGAAAAAGGGGCTCATGTTTAACGATGATGATCCCCCTGGTATTCATATGGGACTCTTAACTAGAAGTGCCCAGGAGATTATCAGTTACATGGCTGTCAGTTGTTTTATGTGCATGTTCTTTTTCCTTCTTGTAGATCTCTGCTGTCCATCCCATTTAATCTCCTTTGGTGAGAAGGTCCTCAATGTACGCATCAAGTTCATCATCTGTGTTTATGTCGATGTCCTAAGGGGTTGGGGGAGAGCAATTATTCCCAAGACCATGAATAAATAAAATACATATTCTAATAGTGAGCTGTCCAACCTCTTGAACTTTTTGTAGAAGTGAAACAATGTTGGTTCGGAGTTTTTGTAGTTTCTCATCTGCTTCCTTCAGTTTCATCTCTGTGCTGTTGCTTTTCTCCTCCACAGCTTTGGCCTTAGCGTCCGCTCTGCTCTGGTACGAGTTGCACAGTGACTGGAGACCTGATTCGTACTGGTGGAAATACTCTTTCTTGAAGTAGACAGGAGAATCACAAAAACATACATCACCACTTGGGTAGCGCAATTCTAGTTCACTACCACAGGGACATCTCAATAAATATACAGTGGAACTTCGATTTAACGGACCCAGATTTAACAGACTTTGGATATAATGAACAGAAAATATTGTCCAGTCCACTCAAAGTGCCCCTTGTACAGTCATTTTCAGTCTTTTAGTCCCCGAATGGGCCACTGGAGTTGAATGGCGCTGTGGTGTAGTCACCAGACAGAGACTGGTCCAGGTATTTTCAGCTTGTGCCACTGATGTCGCAGATATACAGTGCCGACTATATCAGGCTAACAGACGTGTCTACATAGTGGCCATGTCAAAGGCAATAGAAAGTATGGACATTAGCTTAGCATCGCTGTGGGTGCACTGCTCAGGAAGGGTTAATTTACTTATTCAGATCTATTGTAACTGTTGTTTACGAAAAGTAGTGATTCAGTTTAATGGTCAATAGACTTTCCCTCCTATTAGTCCGCTAAAATGAGATTCCACTGTAGTTGGCTGACATGGCTCAAGCTGGTTGTCAAAAAAAGAAGCATAGTGTGACTGTGTGCACTGTGCAGTGTACAATTGCTTTCATCGTACCAGAGGAAAGGCCACCAACTCTTCTGCCGTCATGCTGTTTACATCATCCTTAGGAATCTGAAAAGCAGGAGGGAAGAAGTAACGCAGCATTGTCCTGAAAAAAAGAGTAGCATACGTGCCAGTTACATACCTTTCCAACAGCTGACAATCAAAGTATGTTTAAGTGCGAGCAGTTTTAGAGGAAATTAGAAACGTACTTTTAATCCTGTCAGTTTTTTTTTAAAGCACAATGAATATTTTTTTTTTTCAAACCCAATATGCCAACTACAGATAAACATCACAACTATAAGTAGCGACGTTATGTTCTTTGGCAAGTTTATCGGAGCCCACTCACCTCAACATGGTGACCAGGCTCTCGGTCACCTCTCGACTGGTGCCAGGTTGTGTGGTGTCTGGCTCCATGGCTGCAGACAGTCGCTCAGTCTCCTGCTGAGTGTCAGGCGTCTGGGAGATGGGAGACGGCGGCCGCATCAGGCGGACTTCATCGCTACCCTTAAACACCCTTCGAGGACAGACACAATCCATCGATTCCATGGAATACAAACAAATTGCATTTATCAGAGATGAACACCGGACAAAGAAGTTTCACCATCTGTCCTTAGGGGTGTCTCGAGGGACATAGTCAAACTTGACTTTCCAGCGAACGCTCTGCTTATTGGTCTCCACAGCGATGACTTTTCCTGTGAACCACTCCTTATTGACACGGACTTCAACTAGCAGTCCCTTATCTTCAGAAAAAAAAAAAAAGAAACACAATTTTGAGCCAGGACTGTGCATTAAATCAACAATTAAAGCATGAGCATTTCAGTCTGTGGAGCAACCTTATGAAGATATTAAAGAGGAAGTCAAGTCAAAAATGTTCTTCCCCACTTACCTAAACATAGCCTTCCTATTAATATCAAGTTTGTGGAATGGAGATTAAGCAGCAGAATCCACCCGTTTTTGACCATCTCAGGGGGCGGCCATTTTGCCACTTGCTGTCGACTGACATCACAGTTGCTCAGGTCGTGACCAATCATGACTCAGCTAGCTAACGTCACGTGACCAAACTCAGAAATTTGGGTTGTTATCTGAGCAACTGTCATTTCCGGTTGACAGCAAGTGTGAAAACGGTCACCCCCAGACATGGGTAAAAACAGGTGGATTTCGCTGCTCAAGTCATGTTCCACAAACACAATTATTAATGAAAGTATGGTGTTTAGACTAGTGGGGTCCCATAGAAAATAGTGTTGGAAATATTTTTTTTACTTCACTTCACCTTTAAACATTCAAGAGAAACAGTTTAACATTAAGTATAAGAAAACGTGAAAACCCCCCAAAAATGGTAAATACGGATACAATTTAGTGAAGTCAATTTAGAATTGAAATACAGAGATGAGATGACATTATGAATGGCGAATGAATGGCATGTATATGATTTGAGTCTATTGATGACAATGTCGAGAAATAAGAAACATGCTCCGCTCAATCTGATACCTTTCTGAGCATTCTTAATATCCAGGTCCTGCTGTGGTGCCTTCTCTGGCGCTTTGCCTGGCCCTTTGTCTGGCGCTTTCTCTGATGCCTTCTCGGGTGCCTTCTCTGGTGCCTGTAGAGACAAAACTCTCATAACTAGAAACAGAGCAAGACAGTTGAATCGAAAGGAAAGAGATGTACACACATGTTCAATCCTTGTTAGTGAAAAAGGTGAAAGATCAGTTTCTGACTGAAAGAACGTTCATTGCAAAGCACAGAATACAATATTGCATCCATTCCAAGAGGGTGTTATAATATAGACATAGCGGTTCCATTTTAAGTCTTGATTATTAGAGATTGGAAAGAGCAGATGCAAGCCAGTTTTAGGAGTAATACAAAGAGCGAGGGACGGGTCAAGCTACCTTGGGCTTAGCAACAGAGGCCTGGCGTGAAGGAGTAGCTACTCCTTTCTTTCCAAGCTGTAAGTGTTTGTTAACCTGTTAGGTCAACAGCAGATGGGCTTCGTTTGAGGTTCGATGACTTAACCAGCAAGTCAACAACTGAGAAAGTTCTCTTTGCTAACTCGCTTCAAATTAAAGGTGATAAAGTGCTGCTGGGGGAGTTTAAGCAACAAGCAACAGTTTTATGATTTGAAAAAAGAAAACAAAAAGTGAACAGCCGGTGCAGTTAAGCATGCATGTGCACGTCTGCTTTGGCCACTGCTTATTTTCACGCTTTTAAAATTTACCTCATCTAACTTGCCACGTTTGGCAACCGGGGCCTTCTCCACCACTTTGCCACGGTTGCCAGCTGCAGCAGCCATCTTTGACTTCTTTGTCTGGGGTTCTTCTTCTTCACTCTCCCCAGTTTCTTCTTCTTCCTCATCCTCATCTTCTTCCTCCTCCTCCTCCTCTTCCTCACTGTCCTCCTCCACGATTATTCTCTTCCGTTGTCCAGCAGCAGGTTTGGCTGATGCTTTAGTGAGTGACTAAGAAAGAAACAAGATGCAGAATTGTTACTATGAGAGTATGCTTCTGCAATCAAAATTGAAGGCTATTAGCATATCTTAACCTATTGAGGGCAGTGCATGACGAATCTTACCCTTGAAGTGCGGCTTGGTTGGGGTGTTTTGGAATAAGTTTTGGCTGTGGGCTTTGCTGCGGGTGACTTTGCTGTAGCTTTGGACCTGGATGGTTCAACCTTAGGTGGAGCAGGAGGAGGGGCAGGTGTCCGGGTGGGCCGCTGAGAGGGGAAGCGGGGTGGGGGAGTACTCTGTGGCATCTTGAGGTGAGCTGGCAGCGGGGGTGATCGGGGGCGCGTGACAGACCTCTCGGAAGACCGACTTGCCTTTGATGACAAAGTGGGCAAAACATTCCCCAAAAAAATATCAACACTAGCAACAGATGACAAGCCATCATTGACCAAGAATGAACATTACCATCGTCCAAGAGTTAAGAAATACCTGTTTGTTTCAGAAAGTTTACAAGCTTGATGGAGATGTTTAAAAATAAATGCATGGAACAAACTTGAAATTAATGGTTGTAGATGACCACTTGTCCCCGACACCATATCGTCAAATCTTCAAATTGCTAATGTTAGACTATATTATGTACTCTGGCACGTGCAGTGTACTGGTACTTGCTGCTGCCTTTGCACAGAGGAAGTATTTTCTATTCCCGGCTGGGGTCCCAGTACTCCAGTCAATGCAATCCCAAAACCCAAATTAAAAAAAATAAATACACACAAGTGACTCCATCCCTGATAGGACAAACATAAAGTCACAACATTGTAATTATTGTACATGTGCCGTTACATGACTCTTGGCCTAATGCTTTATATTAGAGTATATGTTTTACTTCCTTGACATTAAGGAAAAAATACTTTTTTTTGTTTGGATATACAAACATCAACCCATTTTTGATACTGCCTATTTTGATCAGAATATTCGGTGAGCAGGAATCTAGTCCATCCACACAGGAAGGCTGTGAGCCCCCGAGCCTTAGAACTGTGAGGCAGATGGGCCAAAAAAACTAACAGGCTGCCTCCACAAATATTTGTGTAAAAATTCAGTATCGAGGCGAGACGACTGTTTGCAATTTGTGTCATTACCAATGGCTCAGTTGTTTTACAACACTTTAAACAAAAGGAGTGATTATTGCAGTGAATGTATGACAAAAGTTATCTAAAGGGAAAAAAACATGACCTAACCAAAAGATGTTGTCCTTGGTAGTTTTATCTAAAGGGGTCCTTCAATTGTAATAAAAACAATAATATGTATATTAGTAACATTTAACAGGACTTAAGAATTTAAATATGATAAGAGGCATTCCAATGAGGGCATGTTTACCTTAGCTGAGCTTTCTGCTGAAGGTTTCATGCTCACATCCATTGGCAGCTTCTTTATATCTGCCGCAGATTTTATAGTAGTGGTTTTCTGAGGAGGAGATACAAATATGTGAAGTGGCAATGCAAGGCAACAAAGTGAGGCCACGAGGAATAAATAAGCTACCTGCAAGGCCTCCAGTTTATCCTGCTGCTGTTTGATTTTTTCTGCAAGCTCTTTCTGTTTGTCTTCGGCTGTCTGCTTTTCTTTTTTCAGGACTCCGCATGGCAAATTGGGTTTCTTTTCAGCAGCGTCACATCTGTGGTGCATTGAAGAAATTCACAAACCAAGTGTCACCGAGCTAACCCAGCTTTGCAAAACAAATACTGCCCACTTTATTAGGTTCAGTTGCACATTGAGCTAAAAAAATTGAATTTTTTTTAAAAAAAATACAGACGTGCAGTCATGCTGTTACACATCATTAGAACCTACAACCACAAACATTCTAATATGAATACTGATGATGATAATCAAAACATACGCAGAGGGGCGAATAAACGTGTTTATCTTTTGTTATCGGACCTCATTGGGTTGTACAGGTTAAAGGTATTTCCATGTTGTGGCCAGTGAGTCCATAAAAGATTTTACTTAATATCTGTGCGTGTGCGTACCTGTCCTGGGTGCTATCTGGGTTCATAAGACACACCCAGCTGTCTGGGTAGCGTTTGTCGACAGCATCCATCTGGAAAGGCAGCGTTCTCCATTTTAAGCATTTATCTAAAAAGGCAACCCATAAAAGCGGCATGAGCATAGTTTTGGAGTGCCGACTGTGTGTGCACGTTTGGGACCTACCGCACTGAATGGTAATGGGGATCTCCATGGCACGGCGTCTCTTATATCTTGCCTCCGATGACGGAGGTGCGGACCAGCTGGCAGACAAGTATCCAAACTCATCCCAGAACTTCACTATGCCTTTTTGAGCTGTATCATACAAAAACATACTCAACAATTGATATGGAAGGCACGAAGACACCATTGAACAATTTTAGTCAGAAAACCCAACGGGAATGCTTTCTGAACCACGTCATGCAGAAAAATACCCAGCATTCCATATCTCTGGCATTGGGCCGAAACCTCAAGTCCCAATTTGGAAAATTTCATATTTTTTTCAAAAATCCATACTATTGGTCAATCCAAACGTGTGGGTGTTATTTTACTAATTATGGTGCAAGCTAAAGTGGTGAAAATCACTTACGATGTTGATGGTTGAATTAACATGCTGTTTTTGGGGTCCCCAAAAAGTGACCATTTTGAAGGTACCGGGATTCGACCTGACACCAGCGACATGGAAACAAACTCAACTTGGAACATTCTTACGCACAAGATCCATTTCCTAAGTGAAAACCTTGTTCGTTGCAACTGCAACTACAACATTTACTTACTATTTTTCTCTAGCTCAAATATTACTCTATCACCGCATCTCCCACTTTTGATGACTGACTTGATGAGGTAACCTGCATTAAATGGGTTAACATTAAACCATGAGAGAGTCACTTTGCATTTAATTTGGTGCAGCACTGAAAGTGCTTCAAGATGAGCAGCAATCTAAAATTTATGAAGGCGCTGAACATTTGCCATGTAGAAATTGTGCAGGGTTTTAGCACAGGAGTCTTCCAGGATTACAATAAAATGGAATAAAGTAAGTCTTCATTTGTCCCATAATGGGGAAATTCCAGTAGGTATAGTCAGATGAAATGAATCTCAATCGAGAAACATACACGAAGTCTATTCATGTATGGCTTGTTTATAACAGCCCTCCAATATGGCCGCCGGTAGTGCATTGTGGGTAATTGCTAAAAGGACGGAGCCCTCTATACAAAGACAGTGATGGTCGAGTGCCCCTTACCAATGTTGGTGTCCTTCCAGTACTGAGCCAGATGTTCCCCCATGGACTTCAGCAAATGTCGATACTCTTTAGCGTCTGCAAAGTCTTGCTTGTTGTGAGTAGGCTCGAGAACTAAATATGGGACATCCACCACGCCAACAACACCCCCACAGGCCCTGTGTTGAAAAAAAAAAAAAAAAAAACACAAACAACGTAATTGTATACCCCGTCAACCATCAACATCACATCACAGTCAGTGTGCACAATACTCACATTCCTCCATCCAGCTGAGGACCTGTCTTTTCATACATCTTGATAAGACGCGAGCAGTTGTATACAAACATCCCATCCAGGTCTCTCTGTTCAATGTTCACGCCGAATATGAAGTTCAGCTCCTTGGGCTCCTTTAATGCTCTGAGAGATATGAGAGAAAAAGAACTTAGGACTGTGCTACTGTTCTTTGATTTTTTTTTTATTTTATTTTGGTTGGGGGGTGGGGGGGGGCATAAAGCATCCTCTTGTCTAGAAAAAAGATACTTCTATTGCTATCATGTATTGTACTTCTGTTTGGACTCTAGAATTCGTTTCTTCATGTCGGCATCCCGTCTAAGCATCATGGCTGAATCCTGGACCTTTCTCAGGATTGTCTGAAACACAGAAGGGCATGTGGGGAGCAAGTGTTATCAGATGATGAACCTGTGGAGCCAAAGTGAACCAGAAGAGTGATCTGATTTCACTTACTCGAGAATCTTTTGACACATCATCTCCAAGTCTCGCCTCCATGGCTAAACGCTTGCTTTCTGCCTCTCTGGCTTTCTCCTCCGCTTCAATTGGTGACGGAAAATTAACCAAGTCAACACAAGAGCCCGCAGAAGGAGCAAAATGATGGGCACCAACTCACCAATCTTAGCAAGGTGATCTGCTTTCTTGACTTCCTGCTCAGCACGCGTTTTGAAACGTGTCGATGAGTACTTATAAACCCTGTGAACAGAGCAAGAAAACAGCTGAGAACCAGTCACTTGTCACAAGGTTGTTAAAAGTATCGTATTTACACGACCAAAAGGCTCCCTTAAAACTCTTACATTTTCTCCAAAATGGACGGGACGCCTAATAATCTCCCAACCAATCCCTACATTCCTACATACCGGCTTGGGCTACGGCAAGTTGTGAGGGACAAGCATACTTTGCATTTTGAAATACAAAAAGAAGATTGCTGACAAAGAGATCCAGCCCAACCACGTCACCAGCATAGACGAGGTGTCGCACATTTTCGACACCCAGCTGAACCAAACTGTAGAGAAGTGGACCAGCAGGGCAGTGATAGGCTCAGCGGGGCGTGTGAAGTCGGCTTTTACTGTTGTGCTTGGTTGCCATGGTAATGGACAGAAACGATCAAAGTGAAGATGCGAGCGGAGTGGGAGTCATGGCAAACACAGTTTTACTAAGACTAGGAGGCAGCGTCAGGCGAGTTAAGCCACAATTTGTGAATGGATTCTGGATGCTAACTTGTTCGCTTGCACTGTTGTTTGAGCTTTCGCAAAAGCCTGACTAATTTTTGAGGCACCGCATGGCAGCGAGACTGACTCTGACAATGACGCAAGGGAACCTGCCGCATTTGATTGGTAATGTGCACAGCTGTTCATTTCAGATAAAAAAGATGAGGACTTTGATGGATTTGAGGATGAGGATTGATCAAAAAATAACGTGTGTACATTGTTAAATACTTCAATAAAATACAACCAAACTCAAGTTTTGTTTATGCTGCCTTTTTAAAAACATAAACTAGCGTGCATGCATGCTACTGCATTTTTTTAAGCTAGCGGAGATTTTACCATGCCCGTGTCCTATTATCCAATGCGTCTTGTGGATATGTTAAATACAGAAATAGCACCCGTATCTGACACTACGCCTTTTAATATGGTGAGCTGTATGGTCGTGAAAATACGGTATGTGTGTTACATTACCGTGGTTTATAAAGACAGCAGGACAACCTCTTGGTCCTCACTTTATGCCCTTGGATAAAAATCCTCATGCGAGGGTCGATGTACAACACAGCAGCGTATGCTCTGAATGACCTCCTCTCTGGTTTCCTGTAAGCAAAGGGCGGACAAACTCGTGGTCTGACATTGTCTTTCATCCAACCATCTTCTATTGTTTGTCCTTTCAAGGTCACGGGTGAGTAGAAGCCAATTACAGGTGACTAAGGGCAAGAAACGGAGTACACCTTAGATTGGATGCCAGTCAAACACAGGGTACAGATAGATACAGAATCAATTGTCCCGGGGGGGATGTCTTGTCATCTAATGATTAGATTGTGATTCTTAAATTGTGCATAACTCTTTGAAAAAAATTGTTGTTTTTTTTCTTATCGTCACATTTTCTGGTTTACCTAATTTTGAGGTTTGCATCATAGAGATAACACAAACGCTACACAAAATGGTTTGAGCCAAGACTCAAACCCACAACCAGCTGACTATGAGACGATGGTGTTGGCCACATGCCCCACCAGCCTGCTTTCTGTTTGATTACGTAAATTGCACTGGACTCACACTCCTTCGGCAAGCATTCCAGCCATCAGTATGTCCTGATGATCAGACTCTACATCCAGCTCTGGTTCTCTGTTGTCCATCAGCTTCAGATTATAGACAATCACCAGTGTACCTTGACACATAACACAAATGTTACAATCACAACATGTCACGGCTAATGAGAAATCATGCAAGCAAGCATGCTCAGGTAGTTAAATTGGATATAGTCACTAAGTAAGTTCAAGTCATGACGAAGATTAAACTGTGTAGTTGAATGACCAATTGGAATGCTTTTTTAATGGCATGATTTTAACTACGACCTATGTCAGCTATGGACAGGTCTGCACAAGTTCAAGCTGAGAGGAGCATAATTGCTTGCATGTATCCTTTGGTTAAAGGAAAACCACTGACACATGTACAAGTATGCCCTAAAAACGTTTTAAACATTAACTCAACATCAAGTGAAAAGTAAATTCTTCTGGGATTCCATGTCGAATAATAGTTGTTTGTGGTGCTTTGTGTGGTGTTGTGTGGGTATACGCATGTACTAACCACTGATACTTTCAATTTTGCTGAACTGCTCCATCAACTCTTGTTCAGTTTTAAAAGGTGAGTATTTGTATATCAGCTCGGTCTCAATGGCGTATTTCTCTGGGTCGGATGTCAGCGGCTCTTTAGTTACCAAATCCCATGACGGGAGAGGCACTATGACCTGAGAAGACAATTCAGAATAAATTTTAGAGGTCAGACCATCTTAAGGTCGCATAATAGAAAAATACAAAATAAATAGGATACATCAAGAATGGAAATACACTACCAATCATATATATTTGGATTTTTTTCACACTTCAGCCCCTGGGTAACTACACGTAGATGTCATTTAATGAAATAGACATATTCACTGGCCTGACCTCATCAAGACCTTCCTCTTCATGGAAAGTCCTTGACAAAAAAAGACAGGTTAAACTGTTGCCTTTTTTTGTAAACAGGATGAAGTCTTTCCCAATTCGCATGGATCCCCTATCAACAGACACATACAACAAATGGTATATTCATCAAAGCTTGCATAATACACGCGATTCCATGGTGAAAGATTCTTCGGATCGTACGATTTAAGTCCATTTCCATATTGGCCAATCTGTGTGGACTCAGGAGATCGTTTGCTTGACTTTCCAAACTGGATCACATGGGTTGCCTCGTCTAACAAAAATGAAATGAATTTCAACACACTTATAATGTCAAAACTTGTCTGGAACACAAATACTGATTCCACATTTTTTTAAATGAACTTAATACAAGCATTGAGGTCAGTGATACTAAAATGCCACATACTTGGCTCCATTCCAATGCCATCATCAAGAAAACACAGCATGTAGCCGCCCCGCAGATCTGGCCTTTTCTCTGTCAACATTTTATGAAGTGGAAAGTTAAGTTAAAAGCAAAGGGGATGCTTCAGTGTATTCGACGCTGAAATTTACCTGTGTAAATGTCAATTCGGGTGGCATTGGCGTCTCTGTGGAATGTAAACCCTCACTTGTTTATAAAATAAACATTTATAGGTCTTCATGATAGATGTATAAAATCAACACAGTACCTTGAATTGTCCACAAGCTCAGCCAAGGCTCCGAATAAGAACTCGTGTGTTGTCCTAAAGCCAAATGTCATTCAAATTAGTGCAAAATAAATCAATTTAAAAAGGATTATACAGTGCAGTATTCATACCATCTGCTTTGCAACACTACAAGTTAAATGAAACCTCTAATAACATTGCACCCTCTTACCAGTCACGCCATTCCGAATACACAATTGCTATTTAAGTCAAGTGCACATACAATATGATCCATCCAATGGGGCTGGAGTCGTCGACCACAAATATATTAACCGCAACCCATTCCAGATTCTATTATTTTGACAAATTCACTCTTAACAGACCTCAGACTACAGAATAATCTAATAGGATAATTGAGTCTTTTGTCAGTCATCCTGGGTTGAGAATGGGTAAAAACAGTCTGATTATCTTGGTGTGTATAATGCCGAGGCATTATATAAACCAATTTCCAATCCACAAGCTCTACTTTTTGAAATAATGACGTGATCACCAGACGTTCAACTGTACTTTTGTTGTTGTAGGGGAATTTTGATCATGTTCAAAATTTTAAAGCAGAGTGACTGTTCATGTTTTGAAACAATTCCCTATTAACCACTCAAGCTACACTTACGAGTTTGTATGCAGGTATTCAAAGGTAAGCTGAGCCCGGCTCAGGTTGCTGTAGCTCGAGTAGGCCATGACCTCTCAACTAGCCTCTCGGTGACGACAGATAGTTACTCCACAGCTTTAGGTCCTGCAGCAGAAAAGAATCTGAATAAACACATTTTGTTCATGTACTGACATTTAACATACTCCCTATGTTAAGAAACTGCCACGCATTATGTGTTAGCCACATCGAGCAGTGTGTAAGCATTTGCGACGAAAATGGAGGGAAATTATTGTTATGGTTAATGTTACAGCACCACATGACTGATGCGCGTGAATGCTGTTGAAGTTTGTGACCAAATCCCATGTATTACCAAGGCATTCATGATGTGAATGTTTCGGACGTCAAACACGGGGCAAAAACGGATACACACACGTAATGTTGGGCTAGCATGTGAGCTGGCGTTAGCTTGGTTGTACATTGTTTACGAAGTAGCAGTAGCCGCGTAGCTAACGTTAGCTTTACAAATGGGGTTTTAGAATATTCCATATGACTGTCACTGTCTTCCGGTTGTGTCAAACTGTAAAGGCGCGACAAACAAACTTCTAGCACGTTTAGCTTCCTTTTAGCCAATGTAAAGCGTTCAATGCCGAGTAAGTAGGAATAGTTCGGACTTACCGTACGATTAGAAGTTGGCTTGGCTTCCTCCTGGCCTGCAAAGCCACGCCTCTATTCTTCTTCTTCACATTAGGTTGGAGTAAATGAGCACGAGTGACTGCGACTGCGCACTTTGCTGCCATCTACAGCTTTGGAGTTGAAGAGCCAAGAAGTCCTATGTAAAATAGTTATTGAACATAACTGTTATGTTCATTATTTTGTCAACCGGTTAGCGCCTCTGTAGCTTCATCCCACATCCATATTATTTTAGGTTCAATGTAGTTTTGAATGTGCTCTTTTGATTGGGTGAGCTTATGTATGTTATGAGGGAATTGTTGGTACAGTATACATCAGCCAGCATTAGCATTTAATTTATTTATTATACTCATTATAATCCCTCAAGGGAAAATTAAATTTACACTCTATCTACATTTTTTTTGCACACCACATAGAGATCCAGATCTCATGTAGTGTATGTTGTATGAAAAGAGAGACATCAAACTGCAGTGGTGCAATGCAACTTTATTATTATTATTATTATAATAGCAATCTGCATGTATTTCGAAATGAAACCATTAAAAAACATAAAAAGTTCAAAAATGGTACTGGCACATTATAAAAATAAATATATTTGTGGTTATGGTTCATTACAGTCCATGTTCGGCGTGCCCTAAAATGAAATTACTTAATGAGTAAAAACAGCCTTATTTGCTATTTATTATTTAGATAAAGTATATAATCATAATCAAAATAAGTTATTAAAAATAATCGAATAAGTTGCCAAAGAGTATGCATCATGTACAATTAAACAGCAAACAGAATTAACTGTTTTTCTTTCAGCTTTACTTTTAATCTGACAGACATTTATACTGGAGACACTGGATAACAGCAAACAGAAAACTGGATGAGAAGTACATATTAAATAAAACTTTTTCATTCAGATCCAATTGGATAGAAGGATAATTTTTCTCACTGGACTGAATCCTTCACTTGACAAAATTGATCAAGTGTCAATCAAAGATTCCTGCAACAAACAAACAACAACAATGGCATTGAGAATCAAAACCAAGTTTGGCATGCTTTACAACTGTACAATAATAAAAGAAATGACATTTACATTTTGAAGGTCCGGCTCCTTCCTGTGGTAGTTGCGCATCTTTGAAGGTGACAGGCTAGCAGCTAAACAAAGTATTAAACAAACTCCTATCAGACACATACTGACTTCTATCAGATGTCGCACTGCCACCCACTGCTCCTCCTAGACACGGAGAAAACACATTGCAGGGTGATGTGTTATTTGGCAGAACACATTACTTACATATCATCCATGCCGTACCTTTGTTAACATGATAGTGAGAGTAGGGTCATTCCTGTAGAGAAGACCATAGCAGGCTTGTGATGTTGGTGGTGGCTGGTCAGTTGCCTCCACATGGACAGATGAATGGCTGTTGCTTGATGCGGGACACTCTGGGGGAAGCCTACAAACAAATATAATGCAAACTGTCAACAATAAGTTGTGGCATCAGCATACTTGTACGTTCAAAATACAACTTGAGTGCAGCCAAACACACCGGCTCATAGGGAAGAGAGCGGTTGGAGCTCTTAAAGTGAGGCAGGCGTAGGTATCATTTTCACGGTGGATATTTACATTCACAATCTCATTGCCTAAAGAAAAAAACAATTGCATAAGATGAACAATTACAAGACATTCTTGTTTACCGCAAATCTAAGTGATGAAATGCAATACCAACCCTCAAGATCCAACTGACTGGCTCTCAAGGTTGTAAAAACGTCAACGTCTTTTGGAAGGCCGTGGCTGTTTGTGATTGTCACAGGAACCTTGAGATGCAAACTGGTGACATGTGCGGGCTGTGGTGTCAAGTCGAGTGAAGCGTCTCTACTTCTTTTCTGTTCTCTAAGTGGAGATGGGCCTAGAGACACCAGATCATCTGAACTCCAATTGGTTTTAACACACAGATGGAAGTGTGCCAACGTAGAGAGGAGATGGTTCCAGTCCTGGGAGACAAAGCGGCATTTGACATAATGATGATAACGCTGGGAGCCTAAATAAAGTGTAGTTTAGGTCAAGTTCATTTCTGTTCCACTATCAAGCTCTTGAACAATAGCACTAGGCAAATTTTCAAACACTTTTTCAGAATTCTGTTTTAAATTAGCATTATATTTCTAAGTACGGACCAGAAAAATCCAGGTTGGTTAAGAAACTACATTTTGTGTTACTTAAATGCTTATATACTCATTTGTTTAGTCTGAGGATAAGAAAGTAGACTTTGTTTCTTTCTCTCTCTCTCTGATATTGTCTTATCACTTTGTTGTGAGACAAAGCAGGATGTCGGTGTGTCATCAGTCACATGAGACATGCGATAACTGCCTGTTCATGTGTGCTTACAGTATCTGATATCACTTAGGAAGAATTAGGTAGACACTTCATGACTAGACGTCAGGTGACATTTGAACTGTGTACCTACATGCAGGTTTTCATTGAATTGTATCTCTCATTATTCTCAAAGTGCTTGTTTTGTCTCTTGTCTACTCAATATATAATACTTTATTTACATTTGAATTTTTTTACTTTCAGTGTGGAGGTCGTTTCCACTTAGATTAAACGTTTGAAAAGGCAGACCTTGGTCACTTGTCAGTGAATTCATCATAAATTGGAGGATGTTCATGAAAACATACATTCTTATTCATCTTAATAATATTGTCCCTGTTACAACATGACAGCAAACATAAAAAACAAGACAGTACCACATTTCTTTTTGTAGTATTTTAACTTGTAAAATGAAATGATGATGAAATGAATGAAGTGACGTGCACAATACAACTGCTTGACACTGAGTCATGCTGATTCCAACTTGCACTTTATATTAAATGTCCCATTCTCCCCCAAACGCAAGGCAAATAAAGCAGATCTTACCTTTGCTGTGTCAGGATTGGGCAAAGGATGATTACTGCTATAAGAGCTGAGGCAGATAAATGAAATAGCCAGCATCAAGAGACACAAGAAAAATGTCACAGGCGGTGGGTTCTGGGACACGTAATCTCTTAAATTGCAAAGGGGCTGCCAAGATGCCATAGTCAAACACAATGAAACCTGAAATTAAGTAAACACAGGAAACACGCGTCACAAATCTCTCGTGAAATATTGAATGACCATATGTTCATTTCTCACTTAAGGATATGAGTAATTACACAAAAACACATCGACACTGTAAACGAGAAAATCGGCTCCTGCATGTGTCCTGCGAGAATGCACGTTTTTCAAATGCAGACTGTAAATGTGTGAGTGTGAATGTGTGTGTGTGTGTGTGTGTGTGTGTGTATGTGTGTGTGTGTGTGTGTGTGTGTGTGTGTGTGTGTGCGCGCGCGCGCGCGCGCGTTTAAAAAAAACAATCTTTTTAAAAATAGTAATAAAACGTTTTCTTTTTGTCACAAGTGGATAGTCGTCGAGGCCAACCTATATACGTACAAAGTAAAATTAAAAGTGTGGTTCCACACAAAGAGAAATAAAATTATAAACACCGTAATTCAAAATAGGCAATTCCAAAATCTGTGAAAGAAACACCAGTGAGTGATCCTTCACAAATGCAACAGTTAATGTCTGCATGCATGTAATTTTGTTATGAAGCAAATATTTTGCGCAGGGCAAAAGACTTACGTCAGCAGTACTTCAGTAAGGAAAAGTGAAGTGGAATTTGTTTTACACGCTGCTGTCCTTTCCTACGTTGGAAAGAAAGCACATTTTCATCTCTCCTTAACCAAATGACGAAATCCAACAAAGGCGATGGAGAGGTGGCAGAACGGTACGGAAAATGGATTTTCCGAAAAGGTGCGAAGAGTTCAGGTGCTGGATTGACAACTACGACACGAGTGTTTTCTTTACGACACCCAACCAGTATACGGTACGGCTGTAAACTGGTTGGGTGACGAGAACCACGTGAGTGTTGATAACCTGTCGGTGACATCACTTGTTTAACAGTGCGCTGTCAGCCTGTCGGATGCAGCCGTGGTGTACATTGGTCCATATAATAATGGCCCATATAATAACTTCTGACAATTACATTGGAACTTATTATGCAATTATATTTCTACTTTATCTGTTAGGATTCCAGATAGAGAACAAATAGCGTGCACTTTGACTGTTTTTAGTGCAGTGTGTATAGAATTTAACACGGCCCAAAAATGCACTTTCCCATAAATTCACAAAAATGTTGATGTTTTGAGTTAAAGCATAGATTTCACGTTCTGCACATCTTTCAGGGTGATTAGTTATGTGGAATGAATGGGAAATAGATGATGATATCTCAATGGTGAGTTTATTTAGAGAATGGTTTTCCCAAAAAATGCAAGAAGCATATTATGATTACAAAACAATTATAAAATAAAATCTGTCAAATAATAATGATTTAAACGTTGATTTAGTGTTAAGAAATAGACAATTCAAACATCATCAAACATAAATCAATGCAACAATTCAATTTTACAATAGTACAGGCTGTAAGTGATTTGTTCATATTCCCTCACATTCAAATCTCCCTTGTGTGCGTTTATTGTTGAAATAGTGCAAAAGAATCAGAAAATCCAGAATTTAATCTGTATACTGATAAATCTGAGAAACCATTGACATTTAGTATTATTTCCCTTTGTCAAAACCTCCGCTGCTCCTCCAGGCCACCATCTCTATGTCAGGCATTATTGCAATCAAGGTGTCCAGGTGACTTTTACAGGCTTGAACGCCCAAATATCAGGCTGACCCATGTGCAGCAGGTCTTTGTATGGAGACATGCTCCATTGGAAGGGGGGCAGTTGGTCCCAGGTCGGCCCACTTATGGCCAGCATCTCATATCGACGAAACATTCCATAGGAGGTCATCTGCACAAAACAGACATCGTGTATCAGTGTGTTTCAGGCAGGGCCTATGAATGGATTCATAGAATGTCAAAAAAGACAAACACCTTCATGTCTGTTCCTCCATGGGACCTTTGCCGTAAGGCGCCAAATGGATAGGTGCCGTTTGCCGGATTTAGGTCTGAGCGAGCGGAGATGGCATTCTCTCCATTCTCAGGTGGATTGCAGTCTTGGCAACGTGACAAGGGGTCTTCTTTGAAGTTATTATATCTAAACAGATAAAAATATTAAAGTATAGAAAAATTATGATGCATTTAAATGCACAAAAAGTTACTTTGTTTCACAATCTGTACCTCATTAGGCGCATCATGGAGGCAACGTCTGTCACTGCTTTTTGGTCTCTCTTGAATATCTGAGCACGAGGATTCTGGTCCAGGGAGAACCACGAGCCAAACTTTTTCACCAGCTCATTGCAGCCGCTCGCATTAAATATGTCCTCATAGTACCTTCCATCAGATATGGTTCGAAAATGATATAAATTGCAAACATGGGCAGGTCACATTCAACATACTGTAAATGTTGTGCATCCATACTTACGGTATGTTGTAACTTGCCCAGTATCCTTTCTGAAGTAATTCTTCTGTTTTATCCGTAAAAACAATTTGACCCCTGAAATGTTAAAGCAAGAGGAATAGCCTATTTGTAACAAACAAAACAACCACGTAAAATAAGTTTAATAGACTTACGGAATCTGCTCTAACACGACAAACAGGTCCTCCATGATGTTGGTCATGCCTGGAGTGAAGTTGTTATAGTCCACGATCATCCACTGATTGTTGTACCTAAAAAGCATGCATGGTCCAAACGAAAATGATAATCTTTATTTTATTCTTTACTCAAGAATCGAGACTGGTGTACATCTGAAATTCACGACTTGAGCATTTTTAGGAGGTGAATAATACTTGGAAACCTACGTGCCACTGTTGTACTTGCTGAATAACTCTGCCCAGGCTTTGGCAGTGACTGCCAGACGATTAGCCACAATATTTCTGAGCCATTCCATCACGGTGCCAGTGGGTTGAACAAATTTCCACAAAGCAGGGTTGCTGTTTCCAATGGTGGTTTCCAGGGTAACCTACAACCATATATGATGAGTAAGTAATTCAAACACTATTGTATTGTAGGCGAAGCTTTTCTTAGTCAAGTGAAAAAAAATGTCTTTACAATAAGATGTTCTATGTGGCTCCACTAGCCGAAACACGACATTCTGATTATTATTATGCTTGTGTAATTTGAATTGAGCAGCAAAATCCGTCTGTTTTTACCCAGCTCAGGTTGCGGCCATTTTGCCACTGAAAATGACATCACAGCAGCTCAGGTCACAAACAAGCACGATTCACGTCTTTTCTGAGTTTGATCATAAGATGTTCGCGAGCTGAGCTGTGATTGGTCACCATACAGAACATCTTGTAAAGAAATTTTTTGACTTGACTTCTCCTTTAAATCATTATCATGCAAAGGGACTATCATTGCATCATAGCTGCTGATAGCTCTTACCAAGCCACTACTAAGGATATAAAAGTCATCTCCAGAAAAAATAGATCCAGGGTAGGAGGAGAATGCCTGGATCTGTCCGGGGAGGATCAGATTGTCTGGGGACAAAATTAATAAATATGATAGTGCTCCAAAACTTAAAACACATTATCCTCATGAACAACATTTTGCATTGTTGGCAACAATGTTGGCTACTTGTCACTCTTAAAAACATGAGTACCGTACTTTTATACATAGTGTGTGTAAACACAAAATACAGGACAGGAGTCATGAAAATACCTAATGGAGAAACTTTGAAGGCAAAGGAATATTTCTTGATGATCCGCAACATTGACTGGTAGGTTCCCCATGTGTCATGTGACACCAGTAGATCCTTATTGTTTGGCAGCAGCTTAATGAGAGCAGAGCATGAGCCAGATCCTACTGGTCGAGTCAGACTGGACTTATTTAGAGCTGATTCCAAGTCTTCCAGATCTCCGGCCATTTGGAAGAGTCTGGTTGGGTATACAAGGCAATTTCATTTGTTTAGCGTTTAGTTTGTCCTATTTTATATAAATCACATCTACTTACATGAAACCAAATGGATTAAAGGTCATTTGGCCAGAAGGAAATGAGAGTTCTTCATTGTAACTGTCCTCCAGACCTTTGAGCTGAAGAAGAGCCAGGCGTACCTGTCATGCAAAATACAACAATAATTTTAAAGAGCCTTGTTTACTTACTGTGGTCCGTCTTTTGACCCTTCTCTTACATAAGGACTGCAATAATAATCATACATGGTTGACTTACAATAGTCCCAAAATGTCAGAAACTAAAAAAAAAAAAAAAATCTTATAATTAAAAAAAAAAGTCACTCTGAAATACCTTTTTAATGGGGTTTTTTGTCTTTTTTTTTTTTTTTACTTTAACACGTTTCAGCTTGACCTGAAATACAACAGGAGGTGACATTTATTCAGATAGAAGACCTCCAACGTACCTGGTACCAGTAAGGCGAATTTGGCTCCTTCTCAATTTGCTCCTGAATCCATTGCAGGTTGATAGTGATGAAAGTTTTAAGACGATCACAGTAACCTGAATCTCTCGAGAAAGGTCCACAGTAACCCATGAGAGTGTTCATCCAGTGTTTGTAGATAAGCTAAACACAGAAATACCCATAAGCAACGAAAACATATTATCTTGGAAGGCCCAGTGCAACCAAGTAAGGGTAATCCAATGTTTTTAGAGGTTGACCTGAGATGTGACAGCAGCCTCCACGGCTCCGGCAGCATACGCCTGGATACTGTCATTGTATTGACTGTTGGTAGTCACTTCCAAGAAAGCCCAGCTGATTTGATGCGAACACATTGGATTCAGTGAAAGCAGCAGTTCAAGTAAATGTGTTTTTCAGCCTTGTTATCGACCTACCCCGACGTTTGAATGTCGTCGGTGAAGTTAGCCCACGCCACAAAATCTTCTCTGTAACCCTCCAGGAGAGAGAGTTGCCCCGTGATTTTGTCAATAACTGCCGTTTGTACTTCAGCTCGAGCCAAGTTATTGAGTACAGGTAAAACACAACTAACAGTCAAAACGAGGGTAAACCTACACAATAAAGACATCTCAACCGAGCGGCAAGCCATATTTTCACGAATGAGTCACATGATATGAGGGAGTCATCACATGATCACAGCAGAGATTTTTTTTTTCTTTCGTTTTTTTTTTTTTACGGACAATACCAGAGTTCATCAAAAAAGAATGAAAACAAAAAAGATAAATAAAAAAAACACACGCAAAGCATACAGCACAAGTCAGTTTAACAAAAAAGACGCCTAAATAAATATATAAGTAAATAAATGAACAAACAGCTAATTATATTGCAGCATACAGAATTTTTCCACACACCATCGTTTTTATTGCTTAGGAATATTATGTGAGACTTACAGACTAGAAATAATGGCCGAGTTGTTAGTATGCGAGACTATGACCAGAGAATTCTGATTTATGTATAAAAAATTTGTCTGAAGCAGAATCAGACTTATTCTAAAGTTTTTGTATCTGATTAGTGAAGTATGCAAAGATTGTTTGTTCGTAGGGTAGTTAAAATGTCATATTTAGTTTATTAGACATACATTTTGTCAGATGTATTTCCAGAATTGTTTTCAGATTGGCAATGCCAAAATAGACGAGAAACTATTTCAGGCTGCAAAGTACAGAATAAGCAGTATACGTCAGTGTATTTCTTGAGCGTTTTCATGTAATGATTTCTAGGATACATTTTGTGTAGAATTTGGAAGGAGGGTTCCTTGGTTTGGCGGCACAGTGTTCGACTGGTTCGCACGCCAGCCTCTAAGCAGAGGTGCAGGCTTCGGTTCCGGCTCTGACCTTCCTGGGTGAAATGTCCATGTTCTCCATGTGCCTGTGTGGGTTTTCTGCTGTTACTACACTTTCCACCCACATTCCAAAAAAACATGACCGGCAGGTTAAGGGAGCACTCTAAATTGTCCCTAAGCGTGGGACTGACTGGTGACCAGATCGGGGTGTAATTCGCCTTTCAGCCGAAGTCAGCTGGGATAGGCTCCAGCATCCCCCCACGACCCTGTTCAGGACAACCGGTGTTGATAGAAGGATGGACTTTCAAAGTAAGACAGTCTAATCGCGACTTGCATATTTGACACGACAGCACACAAGACCACAAATGCTTTTTTTTAAACTTTAATTTTAAACAGATTTCAAAACATCCTGTACAAAACATCTTTAAATAAAAACATATTTCTCATATTTTGTGTAGATTCTCATATGAGATCAAGACTGTTCAATGTGTAATTCTTAACACTTCTTGGTACTGAAGACTTTTACAGTACTTAATTCCATCCTTACTAACATGATTAATGGTGCTGGCATCTACTGTAATGTATTAAAATTCCTGAATCACACACCATCCAGTTTAACTGGCGCATCTTTCTCAACAATACCTCAACACGTTGTTGAGGTAGCTAGCAATCAAACTCGCAACCTTTAGGTAGTGACAACAGATCTCTCAACCCCTCAATTCCTTTTGGCTTCAATGTAGGCAACGGCATCAGTTTCAGTCCTCCGCATCTTGTGGAGTTTCCATCTCTTCCAGAATTCCCCCGAGCACCTCTGCCTTTCGTTGCTTTTTGCTGGCCACTAAAATTGAAAATAAATGAGAAAGGTGAGAAGAATGATTCCATTGATTGCACTAATCACACACACAATCTTTTCCAGTCCTTAAAACAATTTACCATGAAAATGTTCAGCTGTTTTCCGTCTCAGTGTTTCCACTGTTTCCTCCGTATCAGCCCATTCTAGCACAAGACGTCTCCCGTAAAGATGGGTGCTGTGGCACAAGGCAGTGAATGCTTTCTGGAAATCAAGACAAGTATATCATTATTTATACTGTATGGTCATTTAAACTGGTGACCATGAGAGAGAGTTACATAAACACAAATGCAGTGTGTGTTTGCCCAAACCTTGGCATCCTGCTTAGTGACGAAGTCAATGAAGCCAAAACCTCTATGATTCCCTGTACCTGCTGCTTTCTTTGGAAGACGGACTGTTTTCAGCTCTCCAAATGTACTGAGACAGCCAACAGGAGAATGAGTGGATTAACGAATTGCCCATTTACAAAGTGAGTCATATACAGTAGCTGTGTGTGTACGTGACTGCTACCAGAAGAGTTCTCGAATTTCCTTGACACGGGCTTGGAAGGGAACATTTCGCACAAGGATCTTTGATCCCGTTTGCTTCTTGTCCACCTGCTTTTTCTTGCGCGGCACTTCAGCAGCCCTGCGTAAACAAAAGACAACATTAATTCGGATTAATAGTCAATTGGGGGCACAACACATGGCTATCCCACGAATTGTAAAATAAAAACAGAAAAAGAATATTAAAACTAAGCATGATGGTAGATTAGGTAGATTACAATTTTTCATGGTATGTTTTTTAGCTGTGTATTTTGTCTTTGTCCAATTAGAAGCTCCATGACCTGTGCGTGAGACCAAGAAGCAGCACATTTTGTTCCTTGCTCTTTTCTTTGTATGTTGCATTTTTCATTTTGCTCCTTGCCAAAAAGCTACATTTTTGTCTCATTTGTCAACAAGTTTCAGAAGATTTCTTGGATGTTTTGTGGCTTGCCAATGTTCATTTGGACACATTCCAATCTTGGACATTGAAGTTATTTCAGTGACCAATGTGGGGTTTTTATTTCACGGAAGGATGAAACCCATTCTGTCCACATCAAGCTCGTGGCCCCTGTGAAGGAGCTCCACATAATAGTTGATGTCAAATCCCGTTCCCAGGTCCCCACACTGAGTGCATGAGCCACGTTATATTTTTACCTTGTAGCTCTCTCTGAAATCTTCAGCTCTAAGCTGTGCTCATCAACATTGCAGTGCTGGAAGGAGGAGAGAGAGAGGGAGGGAGAGAGGGTTATGTGACATACAAACAAGGCGGTGGCAAGTTTTAAACAGAAAAGGAACAAATTCAAATACCTGGAGCTGTCGCAAGGCTTTCTGTGCTGACTCAGCGGTATAATACTGAACAAAACCATAGCCCATTGACAGTATTTTCCCTGCAAGTCAGAGCAGGTATTACTTTAAAACACAAACTCCAATCCCTAAACAAACCAGTGATGCTTCTTTCTGCATAACTGATTGCTTCAGCTTATGACTGTCAAATGAGCATTGTAGCATTTTGGTTTTTACCACTAAATACCTGTTTTGTCTTTTTTCTTCGAGATTGTGCATGACTTCACCTTGCCACATTTTGAGAAAGTCTATCAGAAAAGAGCAAATTAATATCAAGTAAAAACCACTGACATAATTTTCTCCATTTTTCAGAGCTACAAAAGTGTACCTCTTGAAGTGTTTCTTCGGTCGTGCTGAAATTTAGATTCTTGATGAAAAGTGTGGAACCTGGAACAGAGTCTTCCTCCTCCTCCTCCTCTTCTTCTTCTTCATCCTTGTCTTTTTCATCCTTCTGTTGCTTCTTCTCCTCCTCTGCTTTCACTTGGTTATACCAATCCATACATTTATTGTTCATTTAAAAATAGTAATAGTTATGGTCTTTATGAGAGAGCAAGTGTGGTGTCGTACCTGGCACTGCTTTGGTTGCAACAAACACCCCCACAGGCGCCCACTCCAAATACAATGGGACGTGATGGAACTGTGGTACAGAGATAAACCCAATAAGTTTCAGTTTTCTCCGCATGCTCCACACAAACAGAAACAGGTTTAACGCACCTTGCTGTAGGCGAGTCTAGTAAAAGCACGCTTCGCTTCAGTGGGTTCCAGGAACTCGATGATGGCGGTGAGGCCGGAGGGCGGCAGCAGCACTCGCCCCAAAGAGCCATGAGTGGAGAAGAGCTCCTCCAGCTCTGACACGGTCACTCCGGCTGGGAGGTTCTTCACCAAGATCACGGTTGTGCTCCTTTCTGCAGCTGCCTACGCACCAGACAAATGAACTTAATTTAGAAGAAAGGTGACCGCAGCGTAACGGGTGCTTCAGTCAAACCGTACCTGACTAAAGGAATCCAAACTGACACCGCTGTCTATTAGAAACTGGCGAGTCTCTTGGACAATCTGTGTCTCCCCCAGAGCCATTCGCACTGCGACACTTCCCTTCGTCTCCTGCAGAGACGGCGACAAAATGGGAAATAAAAGGAAAAACATAAGTTAGGCACGAATCAGGTTCCACAGTCCAATATTTTTGTGGAGTATTGTGCAAAAACAGGGTGACGTTACATGGTCAAAGACTTGGCTTTTTGTGGTGTTATATTTTTCCGCAATGGCATCGGCTACGGCACTTGTGCCCAGAAAGAGTGTATTCCAGTTGTGTGAACTTAAAAAAGAAGAAAAGTATTCACTCAAAGGACAGCAAAACAAAAGAGCACAAGAACTTTAATAGGGATGCGCTTACCTGGAACTAGAAGCTTTGTTTTTTGCTTCCTTTTGACGTTTATAAGATGAGGAGCCGGGACCGCCTGCGTCTGTAGATTCACTTTTTTCCTTTTTAACTGTGGATGGGAGCAGGTGAAGCATCCGGCCCTGAAAAGAAAAAAAAAAAAAACATTTATTTTGACCTTCCCATAAAGAGCAGGCTCAACTTTATGAAAATGTAAGATCCTGCAGCATCAAGTCAAACATACCTGAAAAATGTGCCCATCCAGCTGGGCCAAAGCCGCCACAGCATTTTCTGGAATCATGTACGTTATGAAAGCAAAACCTTTAGGTCTCTTTGTTAGATTGTCAATGGGGAAGAGCCGGCACTTGTGCCCAGAAAGAGTGTATTCCAGTTGTGTGAACTTAAAAAAGAAGAAAAGTATTCACTCAAAGGACAGCAAAACAAAAGAGCACAAGAACTTTAATAGGGATGCGCTTACCTGGAACTAGAAGCTTTGTTTTTTGCTTCCTTTTGACGTTTATAAGATGAGGAGCCGGGACCGCCTGCGTCTGTAGATTCACTTTTTTCCTTTTTAACTGTGGATGGGAGCAGGTGAAGCATCCGGCCCTGAAAAGAAAAAAAAAAAAACATTTATTTTGACCTTCCCATAAAGAGCAGGCTCAACTTTATGAAAATGTAAGATCCTGCAGCATCAAGTCAAACATACCTGAAAAATGTGCCCATCCAGCTGGGCCAAAGCCGCCACAGCATTTTCTGGAATCATGTACGTTATGAAAGCAAAACCTTTAGGTCTCTTTGTTAGATTGTCAATGGGGAAGAGCACCTCAGCTAACGGACCTACAATAATGCAAAATGCAGATCAACGTTATTACTTTTGCTACATCAACTTCAATTGGAATGTATTCATCTGTCTTTCAGACATTTAACTCGCCATGTTTAGAAAATACTTCTGTGATTTCGTCTTCTGTGCATGTGTAAGGGAGGTTTCGGACAAAGAGACGTCCTGATTCCGCAACATCCTCTTCCTCCTCGTCCTCCTTCAGTTTCCTGATGAAGTTTTTGTCAATTGCTTTGTCCTTTCGGTCAGTCCTGTTCCATCCGGATGCCTCAACGCCGAATACCTCAATGTAGCGCCCTCCTAAAAACATGCAAAAGGATAAAAACACATTCTTATGATTTTATTAGTGTCATGTAAAAGGATAAGAAAGGTTCTTGGCACCATGAGATAAAGCTCTCACCTATATAGTCTTTATTCTTCTTCAAGGCCTTTGCAACCTCTTCTGCAGAGTGAAGATCTACATATACATAGCCTAAAACACACGCATGCACCCACAAAACCTTGATCCCGAGATTTGTGCATTTTAGACCCATAGACAACAAAACAAGCAAAACGAAACAGTGTGTACAGCAAATGAAAATATGCTTCCTGTATGATACCTGTTCTGTTCCCACTTTCATTTCTTCCAATTCTGATGGCAGCAGGCTTCAGTGGCGTCATGAATTCTTTAATTTGATGCTATTTGCATACGCAGACAACGTCATGGTGTGATGAATTTCAGAGTTCCATATTATATTTTATCCTGAACAAAAATAAACCTTGACAACAATTGGAAGTCTATTCACCTCTTTAACATTGAACGGGACTCCTCTAAGCTTAACCGTGAACTCTGTTGTTGGTTCAATCTGGAACGAAAACAGGGTAAACTGAACAATGAAGCAAATAAGGTCATTTTTTAAAGTGTAAATTGGACCAATTAGTCACCTCTTGTCTTGCATTTTTCTTGCCTTTTCCCTGCTTCTTGTCCTCAGAGGGAACAGAGTTCTTCATCTTGGCGGTGTGATTTCGGTCCCCGCTCTCGTAGGCGCTGTCGTTGAGTTGTGCAGGTCCAAAATCTTCTTCTTCGTCATCCCCCTGCAGCTTGTCATCCTTTTCATCGCTTTCATCCATAGCGTCCTCAGTTCGTACCATCTTTGAGCGCAGATAGTCCATATCTGACAAGCTGGACTTCAGAGCTTCTTTCGTGGTTGTGCCTATAAAACACATCATCACTACTTTACCACACTGTCTCTTGTTGGCGAGATGATCGACTTAACAAAGTAGCCCACAAATATGGAGACAGTTGGGGAAATCTGTTGATAAGACTTGAGATGTGCTATATTTTGTCCAAGTTTTGCACAACTACTCACTGAGATGGGATAGCTTTCATCTTTTGAAGTCTTTCACAGTTACTTACAGTCCTCTTCACTGCCTTCTTCCTCTTCTTTTTCCTCATATTCATCATCCGACTGGTCAGAGTCAAAGTTGAGGTAATCATCAACAGCCAGCTTCTCCTTGCTTTTTGCCTTGGCGCTGTCACGGTCGACTGCCTGCTCCATTGCATCATTCACCCAGGTCCGCACTTGGCATCGATTCTGATGCACTGACAAGAACTCCTTGAACTCCTCATCCTCCTCGAGCTGATGCACACGATAGACATAGACAGGGTAGGTTTAGTAATAAAGAAAGGGTTGGTGATCTTGCTGTGGTTTACGAAAAAAAAAAAAAAAAAAAACAATGCCTTGGTTGAAATTCCATTTATCTTACAAATTCAACATTACATTATGTAATACATTCACCAGCTATAACATTAAATACACATTTCCAGTCCATTCGGCCATCCATTTTCGATACAACTTATTCTCACCCGGGGGACAAGAAGGAAAGATAAAATGTGCCTTCCTAACTAGTTTAACACAGTTTAGGTTACCACCAGAGAGGCATTCATTATACACAGATGTATGTAGAATTGATGTTGTAGCTCGGATTGGTGTACAACAGCAATGTATAGTATTGAGAGGCTTTTTTATGACATTTTCTTTTTTTAATTTATCTCTCGTTTCGGATGCAGTTAGATTGTGCTGGTGCACGTAATATGGTCAGTGAATGGATAATTAGTAGAATTTAGCAGACGAGTCACCACATCCCTATTAAATACAAAAAAAAATTATTGAAAGCAACTCACCTTTTTCACTGCACTGGTTGTCTTTTTCCCCTTCTCCTAATAAACATAAAATTACAAAACAATACAGCTTAGAATACAAGCTTTCAAATGTACTTTTCTTTCCATTGCTGTTTCTGTTGATGGGTGCAATGAAGTGCTCACCAATTTTTCAGCAGTTTTAGTTTGTGTGGCTGGTTTTTCTGGTTCAGAGCTCTGAGTGTGTTTGCTCCAGGCTTTTGATTTAGTGGGGTCACCAAATGCCTTACACATCTCCACCTGCAATGGAGCACACAAATCACACATCTGTGAACATGGAAACATCATTTGTGAAGCTGACAACAGGCTCACAAGAACACACCGTCACTCTTGAAGTGTCCACGAAGCTCCTGTTAAAATGCTTCAACGCTGTATTCGCGTCGTCCTCGCTTTGGAACCCAACAAAACCAAACTTGCGGAACTTGCCGTCCTTGGTGAACTTGAGGGTGCAGTCAGTCACGGTCCCAAACGCCGCAAACATCCCTCGGAACCTCTCCTCCTTCATCTGAGCACAAGTTACGTTCAAGTCGACTGATAAACGTATGTATTGTTTCGCTGTGGTTTGTTTTCACCCAGGCGTATTACTTACCCCATTTGGGAGGTTTTTAACGATGAGTCTCGACATGTTTCCAGTCTATAAACTCTCAAATGAAGCAAAAAGAATTGATTTTTGATATTTGTCAACAAACAAGCGTGGAAGGTGTCCTAGGTCGCCATGTTGGAGTCGACTTCTTCTTCGTCGCTTTATCTTTGCCTTAAGTTGCAAATACCGCCACCTAACGGAGTTGAGCGTGTTTTTAAAACACCAATCAAGTCAAAGTGTATATAAAATATACTGTATTACTGTTTATAGGGATAATGTGTAAAAATTTGAAGATTTTTTTCACTGTTTATTCTTTCAAAAACCCACTATTAATTTCGCGCAAAAAAGTTCTATCACATAAACGTTTTTTTTTTGTTTTTTTTTAATGAAATTGCAGATAAAGTTACGGAAGAGGACCGGATAAAGTAACTGCTAATTATATTACATAGGGCGTGCCTCTCCTACGCAGACTGCGTTGTTTCGCCGCCCACTGTGCTCCGGATACTCAAAAGAGACAAATTTAATGAATGTAGTGTAATGACAACAATGCCATGCACTTACCCTGTAACTTGAGTGAATAGTAGAAATGGTTTAGGATGGCATCTTTTAATTAGTGGTAGGCTTGCAAAGTATGGTCTTTCTCGGGGAGCGTAGTGCGCGTGCCTCAAAACGCACGTGCTTCGAGTTTAGGTCGCCGCATTCTGTTAGTTCACCACTGGATGGCAATAAATTCTAGACACTCTACCTATACGAGTTCATTACAATGATAATCATCCACCCATTCATCCATTATCTGATCCACTTATTAAGGGTCGCGGGTGTGCTGGAGCCTATGGCAGCTGACTTCGGGCACAGCAACTCGAGAGAACTGCTATTGTCACCATGCTGGGCGTCCAATTTTAAGATTGAGATTCGGACTATAAATGGGCCTAAAATGGAGCTGGAAAAGACGACTTCCACCCCACAACTGAATGAAAACCCCACCCTTGCACTCATTTATAGTTAGACTGCACTTTGCGCTGTTGTGAAAGCGCTATACAAATAAAGACATAATGCACTGTATTGTACAGACTGGAGCTCGGCCCGAAAATAGGGCCTACGGTGTATGTAGTTATTCTCTTCCCCCGAATTCACAACCACTCATGCAAAAATTCAAAGCTCTATTACCAGTTTTAATAGCTCATAGTTTTGAAAAGGACAACTTTATTGGGAAATCTCAGTCCATTTATTAAAACTGCAGAAAACAATAATATATATCAGTAACAAAAACTTGAATTTTACTGTTCAAATCAAAAGGCACCATTGTGATGAATATAAAAACTATATTCACTTGAGGGTCATGTGATACAGTCCATGTTACATTGAGGTTGTCAATAGTGTCAAACCAGAGCCATCAGTGTTGTAGCCCATCTTTTTTCTCCCATTCTTAAACTCATTCTCGATTTCCAGAAAAGTTTTGTTCTTGGTTTCAGGAATGATAAAGAATATGTAAACTGCCACTAGGATGCAGATGACCATGAACACCAGGAAACAGTACTGCTTCAGACCGAGCTGTGGAAAGATGACACAAATACACACAAACTTGGCCCACATTCTAAAATGCTACATAATCAGTAATTCAGCTCACAAAAAAAGAAGAGATGGTCATTTGTCAAATACATTTCAGAAGAGGAAGAATTAATCCATGGATTTAGTAGCGTAATGCCAACAATAAAGCAACACACCTCCCCATGTTGAAAACAGCATAGGGTATACAGTACGGGAGAGTGTTTTTATACAGGCCACTAGAGGGCAAAATCCTGAGTTTGACAAAAATAATCAAATCTCTCCAACTGCAGAGGAGCATTTTCATGGCTATTTGTGTGTTGAAATATTTTACGGTGGTCTTTTTATAGCTATTACAGGAATCTTAAAATGTACAACTCATACATTTTAATTGATGGTGGCTGTGGTTTGACCCTGGAACAGGTCATTTATATGTGTAGTATTTTCTATGGTGTAATACAAATGTGAACAAATTAGAGGTTGACCATCCCTGATTTTGTTTGACCTTAGAGGTTCCTCTGTCTTCCCTTTCTTCAGGTTAACGTCATGCTGGCTACTTACCACAATAAAAGGAAAGACCATGCTGATGAAGAAGAAGCTGATCCAGTTTATGGAGCCTGCAATCATGTAGGCTGCAGGCCGTGCGGTTTGCGTGAACAGCTCCATAGTCAAGATATTAGTCACACCACCTACGGAGAAGACAACAGAGACACCAGAATCAGATCATCTATACACGATCTTCGGGTAAAGACTCAAGTGACACAAAATGCAGATTGTTACCTGGCCCTAATCCAAAACTCAGAATAAAGGCAAAAACGCATGCCATGCTGAGGTAGGGAAAAATTGGACTGACCTCCTGAGAGTAATAAGAGAAGACAGGGAGCTCATATACAATAGAAAAAGTGTATGACACCAACACATGTTTTTATTGACAATGAGGGTGTGGTTCAGTACCTGAAAAGTAATGGTCAGAGTGAACAAAATGCAGCAGATACTCATGAGCGTGTATCCTCCAGTAATGAGAACCTTCCGTCCCAGATGCTCAATGAGCAAACCCTGTGAAACATGCAGCACATGACAAGACTGAAAACACTCCATGAAAGCATTTTCTCTCAGTTTCTCACTGACCTTTCATGCTTCTTTTGTTCCATCGTAATACACAGCGATAATGTGCATCAGAACCTGATTTTTTCTTAGATCGGTACTGACGCTCATTTATGCTGTGACCTATTAAGTCTAAAGTTATGCTCTTCCTATGATAGGCATCAGTAATTTGTCGCAAGAAATAGTTTTTGTGGCATACTCTCTTTTTTGTGTGCATTTGTGCCTTTCTTGAGCAGGTCCTAAACAAAACCCTTCTTCTGGCTACGTTTGCTGCTGGTATAAGAGGGACCTTCCAGTATGGCTATAATGTCTCAGTCATAAAATGTACCCACCAAGGTAATGCTGCTGTTTTACTACTATAAACAGCTTTTCAAAGTACATGTCTGTACACATGCAGCATGCTAAGACATACTCACAATGTCTGCGCGGTTTCACAGCACTAACTGAGATTAAGATATAAGAGATAAGATATTAGACCGAGCCCAGAAAAGATGTCTTGTGACCTTCTATAGCTAATCATTTTTGCAAGACATCCTCCAGAAAGGGCACGAGGCTTTACTTTGCATTTGAGTAATTCATTCATTGCAACCCTACGTGAAGGTCTTTTGAGTATAAAATTAAATCAGAAGGTGGCACAAGGTCAGACGCTGAATAAGTTAGGCAAACTAATATAAAGAATTAATAAATACGTATAAATTTATGTTTACTGTCTTATGGCATTAAGTTACTGTTTTATCTATCTTTGTTTTTCTACGTCAGATTTTTACTTTACAGCATGTTGTATGCTGCTATGGTTGTTCTATCAATCAGAGCTTTATCAATAAAGTTGAGTTGACTCGTGCTGAGCTGTGCAAACCACTTGTCCACCTTGCCAACGCAATCAAACTATGAAGAAAATACTTACACAGGTCAAAGCAGTGAGGCATTCACAGGCACCAGTGCCGACTGTTGCATATGGTATTCTCTCAGTGGGAATCCCTGCTTGTGTAAACACATAATCTGCATAGAAGTAAAACTGTGACAAAAATAGAATAGAATAACAAATTAAAATCTCAAATGAATCTTAATTTAGGGAAATATTAATCAAATGAAAACCGGTTATGGCATCCACGTTCTAATTTTCAGTTTGACATGGGCATTTAGAGCAATACACAAAAGGGATAGTGTTGTTCAAGCGGTAGTACGTTACATACAGCATTGATTCCATTCAGCTGCTGAGCTGAATTGAGAAGCATGATGCTGACAAGCTGCCAGCGTACGCTGCGGTCAGCAAGGAGCTCCCATGGCTTCTTGGCCTTGGATCCTTCCTGTTCCAGGTTGTTTTTCTCCTTTTCTATGTCCTCCATTGCACCACCACAATCAGTTGCACCGTGGAGTTGCCTGAGGGCTGCAGGCAAACAAATGATGAGCAGCATGTGGTGATTGTTGTGCCGAGTCCTTTTGTAATCAAGGTTCACTGAGTCAAATGTGATAACATGATACCCTGCCGATGAAGGTACATGTCTTTGCTGCAAGACAGTCTATATTGAATGTTTTCAACCACAGTCGTGTGCACTGGATAAGAACTTTTAATGATGAAACAATCAAAGTGAAGCATGTGCACTGTTTGGTTCACCTTTTCTGCATCCCTCATAATCTCCTCTGTCAATGAGCAGGAAGCGTGGACTTTCCGGAAACCACGGAAGCATCAGGAGCTGCAGGACCGCTGGGATGCATGTGGTTGCAAGCAGAATGGGCCAGTACTCTTCTTTACCCAGCACTTCTCTGTTCGACCACACAGATGTTAGAACATCTTTCTGGCACCCCTAATTTTATTTCAGATATGAGTGACCCAAATTACGATTAATCTTAAAAAATAATACCACTCCCGGATTTCTGTCAAGGTGCAAAAAATTATGCGAATTACATATGTATATGAAATAATCACATAACCTAGCCTTAAAGTCTGCAAGCTTGATTCTAACACAAGGTGAAACGCCATAGATGCTCTAATGGAGAGCAATGATGTTGTTATTACCCTTGAAGCAATGGTTTGAAAGCATACGGTGGAGGTACACATAATTTACAGTAACAATACTCATAGGCATATACTGTATTCTTTATCTCTGCAAAGAACCTGTAATATTACTGTGGTTTATTGAGGAACCGAGACTGTCTCTATGTACGGTATATCACACACCAGAGGGATAATGTCCAAAATAAAGTACAATGAATTGAAGCAAAAATGTGTCAAAAACTGTTTCATTTTGAAAAATGTTATTGCTGTATTATTTCTTATTAAATTCTATATTATAGAGCAGCAGTGTTTGTCACACTTTAAATACAAATAAAAAAGTCCTTAGCTCTCCAAGTTTCATCGTTTAAAGAAAAAAAAGTCAAAAACATGACAGATTTAATTCCTAAAAAAGTATATATATACAGGAACACCCTGCACACTTTGAACATTAGCACTGCACTTAAATATAGGGATATATACACTATATTTTAAAAACTGTACATAAAGTCAGTGAAATTTACATACAACTCAACTGTTTTTAATAAAAGTACTGGATGAAAAAAAAGTTGAAAACGCTACAGCATTATGTAGTTTGATTTAATATTATGATTTATAATTATTATAATTATTATATATATATATATATATATATTTTTTTTTTTTATGTATCACTAGAGAGAGGATCTATAACACTGGTAGTACTAGTATCTCTAGCTGGAAAACCACTGTTAGAGTACTGGTAGTATTTTTCTCATCATCCAAAAAAACCCAAACACACCCAAAACAAAAACAAAAAAACATTTGTGTTGTTTTTAGGAGGGCGGAACAGATTAATGACATCTCCATTCATTTCAATATGAGAAGATGACTTGAGATATGCGTGTTGTGAGTTACGAGCACGAAACAAAACTTTTGACTTAAGGCACCACTGTACTTCCATGTGGCAATATTTAAAGCACTATAAAAATGTACTGTACATGCTAGTCAAAAAAAATATATATTTTTTTACTTGAGGCCCATCACTTGTCCAGTGAAGATCCCACCCGTCACAAAAACTGAGGATCCCATTCCCATGAGGCCACGGATGGATGTTGGAGCAATTTCCACCAAGTACAAAGGTTGAACACAGAGGCCAATGCCTAATCAAATCAAACACGTGAACATCATTGACAACCTTATTGGATAATAATCAGCTATTTGTATTTTAAGTAGAACTGAATGTGATTTACCAGAATTTATTCCAATGAGAAGACGTCCCAGGACGATTAGTTCAAACATTCCTGTTGGGTAGCTCAGACCCATCGTCAGGGCAGCCATCATGGCAAGAATATTATTGACCAACAATGTCCCTTTCCTGTAGCAACACAGACATATGACCCATGTTTCATGATCACACAACATCATTATATAAAGTATTAATGGAATTGTTATGCTTTGATTGTCACTGTGAGAAGGGTTTCAATGGAAAATATCTACAAGTGCTTTGAAAGGTGTTTCAAATATGTTGTTCATCTCATATTGCGAATAATATGAAACGATCAATACTGAGCATGATCAACCTGGTAGGGGCAGAATTATTTACACAGCTCTTGCACTGGATAGGTTGTGCAATGACCAAACAAAACGTATACTTTTATGATTGAATGTAAAACACACACACACACACACACACACACACACACACACACACACACACACACACACACACACACACACACACACACACACACACACACACAAAAAAAACATACCTTCCCAGCTTCACTGACAATGTTCCTCCAATTGACACTCCTATTAGTCCTCCAAGGGTAAATACAGACACAATAGTGGACCACATTAAAGTGAGAACACCAACTGCAATGTCGCTTTGGTAACGCTCTGTCCATGTTTGGTTGATGAAATTTTGCACATACTAGAAACATGAGAAGGGACAAAAGATGAATACCATCAGCGGGCACCTACCCACTTTTATACTAACCATTCACGCTTAAACCAACGGATAACACATACACACGAAGGCCTGCGTGGAGATTCAGACTGGGAACCTCTCGATTGTGACACAGACTTGATAACCACTAGGTGACCATGCATCCCAGATAAAAACAGATGCATCAAGATTTGATCACATTCATAGTAGAAAACAGCAGCATTACCTTGGTGGGTGCATTTATGACCGAGACGTTATAGCCGTACTGGAAGGTCCCTCCTATACCAGCAGCAAGCGTAGCCAGAAGAAGGGTTTTGTTTGGGAGCTACCCGTGAAATGTACAAAAAAAGAAAGGATGTGACCAAATTATTTCTTTCAACAAATTACTGATGTCTATCACAGGTAGAACATAACTTTTGAATCAGTAAGTTACAGCATAAACTAGCGTCACTACTGATGAAAGAAAATTTCAGGTTCTAATGCACATTATCGCTGTATGTTACGATGGAACAAAATGGACAAAAGGTGCATGAAAGTTTGGTGATAGACCGAGAGAAAATGCTTTCATGTAGTGTCTTCAGTCTTGTCATGTGCTGCATGTGTCAAAGGGTTTGCTCATTGAGCATCTGGGACGGAAGGTCCTCATTAATTAAAAGCATCAAGCGTTACGAGAAGAAGGGTTTTGTTTGGGACCAAACCTTTTCTTGCTACAAATTACTCCACTGGAGCGGGAAGAAAAACTACCGGACCAACTAGGCATACGAGATTACCAGAATTTGTTTTATCTCCTAATTGTAACTTTTTTTTTCCCCCTCAGATTTTTTTTCTCACATTTGCACAATTCATCCCAAATTTTCATCGTAACCAAAATATAGTGTAAACTCATGCTGACACAATTTAACAAAATACTTCACATACCTTGAATATTGGCTTTGTTTCTTCTGCCTCTTTAATTAACAAAGGGGTATATTCATAGTTATTTTCCCAATTTTCGTTCGGCATTTTTGCGCGCGATGCCCTGTGCCAGTACTATACAAAGTGTCTGTTGCGCACTGAGCGTCCTCCTCATTTAAGTGAAGTCGAATCCAACAAGAGTCTGGTTTTATCCCGCAACAATGCAGTCAGTGACTTTGTGTCTAATCCGACCGGAGGGTGTGAAGAATCATCTTATCTTCCCACTTTGAGACGATGTCTCGCATGAGGCCATAAGATGTCCGTGCATCACAAGCGGATTCCCTTGAAAAGATGACCTCAAGTAGTCATTCATTGAGTTAAGAATTAACATGTCACGGGGCGACTTGCACTTTTGACTGCGCCTCAAGGCAGTCCAAATGTTTTCATTTTTTTTTTTTTTAGGAGAGGGATATAGGGGTTGTTATTCAGTCCTTTCAGAGCGCATCTTTCATGTTCTGTCTGTTTTGATTGTCTTTCAGCTCCGGCTGGAGTAAAGGGTGTCTCCCTCCACAGCAGGCGTACCTGCAATGAAGCCTACCAAGTATTTAAGGACTGCCAAGATCCCAAGTCTCTGTCGGCTTATTGACCGTGCTTGTGGTTTTTGCAATCTCGTGCATTGTAATTTTGTAAGTATTTGTATTATTTAGGCTTTTTGATCCTGTTTTTTGTGTGATTTGGACTCTTGTCATGTTGTTGATATTCTTCTCGGTGTTACTTTTACCTTGCCTTTTGCAAGCACTTTTTGTTTATGCCTTGTTTTTCCTGGCTCTTGTGACCAGCAATTTCTCTTTTGACTTTTTGCATTTTGTCTGCATTTTACTGTCATGTTCTGTCTGTTTTGATTGTTTCAACTCCAGCTGGTGTGAAGGGGGTTTCCCTCCAACAGGGGCACCTCTTCTGCGTTTAGCAAGTAACTCTACCAAGTGTTTAAGGACCGCCAAGACCATTTCAAGAAAGAAAAAAAAAGCCTTTTCAAATCTGCATTAGTAACAGCCATTACCTCTAATTTCAGAGTGACATAAAAATGTCCTCTTTTATCACTCGAACCTTCCACTTCTTGTAGTTATAGAAACATCCTAGAAGTTACATTTGAATTTGACGTAGCATTTCAGAATAAAAGATCCTTGTTATATGAACAAGTGACACTCATTAACTGCAAATTATTGATTATTAATAACTTTATCATCCAATCAACTGTTTTCACTCAAACACTTCAAATTTGGCAGATTGTAGACCATCCCGGGATGCCACCCAGGATATTTCATCCACATCCAATGTTTCATTTTGACATTAACGCCTCTGGAAATCTGCATATACCGGTAAGTGTCATTTCCTCAAATTTTAGCCTGGAATCAAAATTCAAGATTTTGTAGTTCCAATTGCATTTCACAATGGCATACAGGAAATCTCAATCAGCTGTATGCCCTTTAAAAATCTTCCTGTGCCTGTTGTAAACTGCCAATTGATATTCCACTTCTAGAATGACACCCAGGAAGTGTTCTCCAAATATTACATAGAATTCCATAACAAATGCCTTTAGTCAATAATTTTCATATATTGACATTAAAATATGCAGTTATTGAGTTATATACATTCAAATACTTTGCCTTTAATACATCTATATGCAAATATATCTATCTCAACATGGAACGTGCTTTCTTAAAATCCTTTCTAAATTTCACAGTTGTCCGGGATTAACACGGATGTCAGATGGAAAATGTGTGGTGCGCCCTCAACCTTTTGGAACTGCGCATCGATCACCGAAGAAGACCACCAACATAGAAAACAGACAAATGCATCGAATCAGGAATCATAATTTCTTGTGTATTTTAAACATTGGACACATAATTCCCAGTCACTCAAAATAACTCACGTCTTTTGAAAATATGAATTACAGCTTTAAATGACTGCCTACCTATCTAATTTATTTTGAGTCTCATATCTTCAAATAAAACAGATGCTGGACTAACACATCGCAGAAACTGTTTGGTTATCATTCAACAAAATGCATGACTTTATTGAAGAAAAAAAGAGGGACAGCAAAGAGGGGAATAGGTGGCCACAAAGTTTTTGGTCATAGTTCGGCCGAAAAATAAGTATTGCATTCTTTCCCTGAAAATGTTTATATCCTGTGTGATAGGTAAACTTTTTGGAAAGTTTTGCTGTCATAGGTTAAATTGATTATTCATTGAATAAAAAATAAATACCCATATACTGCATGCAGTAATTATTGTGTTCTATTATGACACAACTTTTAAAGGTAGAGGTTCTTTGCAGACTTGTGCGCTTCTTATTCCATTTGTGTTCACCCACACAATGACACCAGATTTCACTTGGAATTCGCAATGAAACACTGCCAACTGCAAGTATGATGCGGTTCAAATGAGTTGCTATGTTTGGTTCATCAGTGGACGAAAATCAGTATCTTTCAGTCACATTTATTATAACTCCTCAACAACAATCGATGTCTAAAATATATACAATACAACATAATTTAGATAATTCAGCAACTACAACAAAAATTGACTTACTCTTTTATTTGATTCAGCAGGTGGTTCTTCACTCATGTCCATGATAAAAGTATCAAAACAGCGAGTACGTTTGAATGAATCGTGGATAATGAATGTTGCGCTTCAGCCAAAAGTCTTGCATAATGGAATGCTGCCGTAAGGTGTAGCATATGATCTTAGCTCCGCAGAGGGGGCGTTCAGTAACCCCTCAAGATGCATTCTTGGGGCTGAGGCTTGTAATTTCTCACCCAAATAAGGAACACAAGAGCAGTGGAATTAGGGGGTCTGTAAAAAAAACAAAAAAACGAGTCATGTCATTGAACCATCCTTTTTTCAGAAAGAAAAAAAAAATCATTTGCGTGCCGATTGTGTTGTTTTATGACCAGAGAGAATCTTATGAAAAACATGCTCAATCTGCTTCCAATTCTATGAGAAGATAACTTCATGGGTGGAGCAAAGCACAAGCAAAATCCATGGAATACTTGTTCTCTCAAAAAAACAAACTGAGTAAGAGTAGGCTACGAGTACCCTAAAAGACAATGTTAAAGGAAAGAAACAGAGCATGGAAAAAAGCCACGACAAAAGAACAGACGTTGAAGCAGACATATTGACAATTAGTGAAATAAAATGAGCAACAAATAGCGACACAAAAGTGCAAAAAGATGGTTAACTAATGTAAAAAAATACAAACAGTATTCATCAAGGCATTTAAACAATTCTAAAATGTCATCTGGACTACATTATCAAAATTTCTGCAAGGCCGTCCAGTTTCCACATAATCCCCATAATCCTCCGGGAATTTTGAAACTGGGGCTCAAAAGGGGAATCATGAAATGGACTAATGTGAACTCATGAACTAAATTGAAAATGCCTGTTCAGAAGAAAACATAACAATAGTGAGGCCGTTACCACTCTGAGAGGAATTGAAGCTAGAAAAAATAGATAAGGTCATATTGATTAAAAGCACAAGGTGAAGAACTGACAATGAAAAGAAAAAAATGTTGTTTCGTTTGTTTTTCGTTTGATCATATGATCAGAAACAGCATGAGTGACGGTTTTGTCTGAAAACAGACCTTGAGGCTGATCAGCAGACCAAACAGATGAACTTGTGAAGAAAAATAGCGTTGGGACTACCGGTACTCCAATTATCAAAAAGCCCACAATTGTCATTAAACATTCTGTGATTTAAAAAAATAAAAAATAAAAAAGAACCACTGAGAATCACAAGACATTATTAGAGAGCACAATGGAATTTGTGGGCTTGTATTATCCCTCCTCTAGCTGTTTACAGGCGGCTTCCCGTGTTGTTGTGTCAGATTCAGATTCAGATTCAGAAAACTTTATTTATCCCCGTGGGGCAATTAGAGTTGTGCGAGAGTGGCTTATTATAGAGACAGTCAGAGCAAAGGAAAAACATAGGATGTAAGTGTGAACTGTTTTGCGGTCTCTGAACTCTACAGCATGGTCACTAGGTCAGTATTTCTCCCAGTTACACAAGGACAAAGACTTTGGAGGTAAATAACTTAAAGACATTGCTCATCGTTTCTTTATGTTTTAAAACAATAACACCGAACCAGATTTAGGCATATAGGCCCAACAACTTTGGAGATCCAAGAAGAATTGTTTCAAAAACTGTATTTACTCAGCAAAGATGATACTTTTTGTAATTAAAACAAACGAACAAACAAACAAACAAATACAGCAAGTTCATGAAAATGTTAACCGAGTTAGTAAACGAGCAGAGCGGAATAGGGGCTTGCATGTCTGCTCCACAATTCTGAACATCGGGGTTTAGTTTTCAGCTGTGGTGCCTTTCTGTGTGAAGAATGTATGTTCTGCTTGGGCGGTTGTGACTCCTCTGTGGTTATTCCGGTTCCTTGCACATTCCAAAAACATGCCTCTTCGGTTAATTGAAAACTCTTAATTGTCCACTGGTATGAATGTGAATATAAATATTTGTTTGTCTCTACTCAATGTAGCCTGCAATTAACCTGTGACCAGTAAAGGTGATACCCCATTTCTTGCCCATCTGGAAAATAATGGTGATCTTGTATGAAAGACAACAGGTGGATACACAGATTAATCATACCTTCTGCCTTCTTGATAATATCATTGTTTTACTTGTCACGATACGCTGTGAGGACAGTGAGGTAGATGAAAAAAAAAAATTTAAACTCCACAAAGGAAGGCTGGACATGAGTTTCAAACACCAAACCTTAATCTTCAAATTGTTTTTATTTATTTGTTTCTTTTTTGCACAAAACGCTAACACAATAACAATTGACTTGTTTCATCTGGCACAGCCGGTTGTAATGAGAATATGAGACGGCAGGGGGCGTGCTGTGACCGAAGAAAGAACTCATGCGGCGGTGTAACACTGAAAGCCTTCCCCAGTCCGGGCAGCGCGGAGTTGCGCACAAACAGGCTGCTGCCGGTGACCCGGTTCGTCATGGCGGCTAGAAAGCCTCGCTCGGTGGCCAACCCTTTGGAATCCGCTATCACTTCACCGAGTGAGAGGATATTGAAAGAATGCCACAGTTTGTATGTCGACAGCGAAAACGGTAAATTATGGCCGTGCCTGAGTTTGGAGCTAAATTTGCGGAATTAACATGAGCAGGTTGTCGTTTTAGGGTGGTACTTTATTAGATATGTTATTAAAAATATATATTCTCTGCGGGTACTTAAGTTCGTGGTGTATTGCATGTACTTACCTAATAAAAACCTACAGCTTGATGTCCCTGCACTTGTGCCAACATGTGTCATTTGACATTGGACACCGGTCCTCTAAAGTGCCTGTCACTGCACTTTGACTCATGTGGGCATCTGGGGCCGACAAGTTAATACATATAGCCTGTTTTCATTGTATTGAATAACAACGATTCGAATATAAATCAAAATATTACTAACAAAAATACAGATCCAAAATGAGGTTTCTGATTTAAATTGTTTCTTTTGTCCATTAGTACAGTATATTTTACATTATTCTCCAGTGCAGTCTATCGCTTCAAGTTCCAAATGACAACTTTATGTTTGCGTTTTCATCTTCCAGGCTTGGTCAAAATCGCCAACAGCCTTGGAGTGCGTCTCCTGCCCCCCAGAAAAAAGATCACTGTGATGATCATGGGGAACCACTCAGCAGGAAAGAGCTCCTTCATTAACTGGTAAGATTCCATGTCAGACCATCAGATAATAACTGTCCTCCAAACTATATTATGCCCCACAGTGTTCAATAAGTGTTTTATGCTTGACTTCTTTGTATTGAAAGGTAGATGAGTTTTTACAAGGCTAATAATGAACATTGTAACAAATACATTTCTGTTATTGATTGCAATCCAAAATATGTTTTAATTGTGAATGTGAACATAACCATAGAATAATTGGACATTTCAAATCTAATTATAAATATATAGAATGTTGGGCAGCTTCAAACCTATGTCTTAAATACACGCCTTTCCAAATCATGCTGAATGCAACCCAAACATTGAGAATATCTGAACTACCGGTATTTGCTTTCTTTTCAGGTATGTCGAAGAGCACATCCAAAAAACTGGTGTTGCCATTGAAACACAGGGCTTCACATTCATCACAAGTGGGCGCAAGAGAGAATCATTGACGGTAAGAAATGACTGAAACGCTGACTGGTATGAAGGAATGCTTCAATCCAGCCTGTTGTTGTGAAATTTGGACATCTCTTGTGAAGGGCGATGAAGCGATTCATTCATTATTTGCTTGCATTAACAATGTGACAAAATTTCTCAAAAATGACGGTCTGTCAAAAGTCTGGTTGGAACAGCCACTTCAACCTGAGTGCAACACAAAAAAATATTGAAAATGGGATGATGGGTTCCTTAGAAATTGATTTTTTTCACAAGTGCTCTGACATTGGACACTGTTACGACACTATTGTTTTTGACCACTAAAATAGACAATCTGGAGTCCTTATTACAAGCCAGTGTATCAGCCACTTTTTACTCTTGAACACCTGCCCGAAACTCTAAACTTTTGAAATGTTTTACATGATGGTGTGTGACTAACTGTTGGTGTAGTGGTACACTTGCCTGACTTGTGTACAGGCAACATGGGTTCAGTTCCCACTCAGTGACAGTGTGAATGTGAGTGTGATTGGTTTTTCGTCTCTATATATGTGCCCTGTGACTGACTGGTGACAAGTTCAGGGTGTAGAGTGTCTTTAGCCCGAAGTCAGAGCAGATAGGCTCCGGCACTCTGCGACCCTGAAGAGGATAAGCAGTGTTAAAAATGGATGGATGGATGATGGGATATTGTGCAA